GAATCACCTCCTAAAGTCCTGTCTCCAGATATGATCACCAGGGGTATTAGACCTGCCTCATTAAAATCTGTGTGAAAGTAATTCAGGTCGTGCCCCCAGCACTCCTCTGGCTGGGTTTTAGAAGCTGCGTAGCAGCAGTGGTGGAAATACTGCTGTAGTGGTAAGTTAATGTATAGCCTTGAAATCATTTTGCTCCCGTAGTGGAGGCAACTTCTCACTTACTTTCTCTTCTCTCTATTTCCCATCACTTGTATGTCTGTGATTTGGTAAGTTTGACTATGACCCACAGACAGACAAATGTATGCACAGCTTTAATGAATTTCCTAAGTTAGTATTGATAGGTGCTCTTATATAGTGGCACATCTTATTTTTTAAAATAAGCGTTGTGTAATGGGCTACTTGATGTAATGGAAAAACAGTGCTGTGGTGTAGGTTCAGAGCTCTCGTGCACGCTATGTTGAGTGACTTTCTTTTGTAATCTTATGAGGTCACAACTGCGCATTTGGCTTGCATTGACTTAAGGGATTTGTGAAGCCCTTTGTAGAACTTTCCTGTAGAGGAAACTGTAGTTTGGAAAATTTCCCTGACATTTGGCAACTTTCCTAGGAAATAGACAGTTGGGTGGAAAAGTTTCATCATATTGATTGTCTTTGCTGGCAGAGGCAGACGGCTGTGTCTTCTACTCAGGAGTCGTGTGCACTGTAAGGAAACGGAGCAGCAACTCAGTGAGAGCTTGTGTGTTTTTCTTTTTCAAAGGGTAAACTTGGTCTTATTTTATCATTTGCTGTCTTAAGTTCCTCCTCTGTAGATAGAACAGTTTTTAAAGAATAAATGTCTAGGGCCCTCCCTGGTGGTGCAAGGGTTAGGACACAGAACTGCAAGCTGGCTGCAACTGCTTCAGTGTGAGTTCGATCCCTGGCCCCAGAGGTGACCCATATGACGCGGCAGACCTCTGCTGACCAGCCCACTGCTCCCCACAGCAGCGTACTTTGTCAATCTGCTTGCTTGTTCTACTCCCTACTCTCTCTGGTGAAGCCTCACTGTCCCTGTACCTCTGGCTTGTACCCCAGCTCTGTATGAATAAATAAATCTTAAAAAAAAAAAAAAAAGGCCCTTCCTGGTCACGCAGTCGGTTAAAGCACAGCACTAAGATCCCCGCCTGCCCCGGAGGTGACCACATGGTGGGACAGACCTCTCCTGACCCGCCTGCTGCTCCCCTCAGCAATGCTCACTCCGTCTCTGGTGAACCCTCTCACCGCCCCTACATCTCTGGTCTGTACCCCAGTTCTGTAAGCACAAATAAATCCTTTTTTTTTTTTAAAGATTTATTCATACTGAACTGGGGTACAGTCCAGAGATGCGGAGGGTGAGAGGATTCACCAGGGACAGAGTGGGGAGCAGAACAGGCAGATCGACGAAGTACACTGCTGAGGGAGCAGCGGGCAGGTCAGGAGAGGTCTGCCGGGTCAGGAGAGGTCTGCCGTGCCATGTGGTCACCTCCGGGGCAGGCGGGGATCGAACTCATGCTGGAAGTGGCTTTGGCTTCTTAGTGCTGTGTTTTAACCCGCTGTGCCACTAGGGAGGGCCACAAATAAATAAATCTTAAAAAAAAAAGTCTAAATTACTTGATTTTTGTCTTAAGTCTTTTTTTTTTTTTAATATTTATTTATTGATGCATACAGAACTGGGTTATAAGCCAGAGGTGCAGGAGTGGCGAGGATTCACCAGAGGAAGAGTGTGGAGCAGAACAGGCAGATCCACGAAGTTCACTGCTGAAGGGAGCAGTGGGTGGGTCAAGAGAGGTCTGCTGCGCCATGTGGATCACCTCCCTGGCCTGGGGATTGAACTGTGCTGCAGCGGCTGTGGCGAGCTTCATGATGCTGTGCATTAACCCACTGTGCCACCAGGGAGGGCCCTGTCTTAGTCTTAATTCCACATGGCATATTATGCTGGGGCTTGATTAGAAATCTATTTGTGATGTATGTTTACTGCTTGAGGAAGACACACTCAGGTAGCTGTTTCTGTGAACTTAATGGAAGGATGTGTTTATCACTGGGGAATATGCACTCAGAAAAATGTAATTGCAAGGACAGAGAACTCATTCTAGGTTTAAGTTCAAAATGGGTTTTTTAGTGTTGAGTTGTAAGAAGTACTGGATCTAAAGGTCATATGAATGTTACTTAAAAATTGAAATGCAGTTCATTATGGGCACACCCTAGGGTACTGCAAGGTTGTAGAGAATGAGCTCATACTCCAGTTTGCCTTTCGTTCAATATTTGACCATGGAGAAGTATTTGAACCTCCCATTTCCTCAGTCAGTCTTCATTACACATCAATGAGAGTGCCTAGAATAGAAAGGTTACAAGGGCCAGTCCTCTCCCTTCTTATTCTTTTGCATTCCTCTAAGCCTCCCTTTTTTTCCTTTTAAAAAGAAGCAAAAGATTGAAAGCAACACAGTCCTTTTTCCGTTTATCCCTTCCTTTAAATAATTGACCTGTTGATTTTATTATGTTAGATAGTAAAGGATGCAGGTCTAGAGAGAAAACCTATAAGTGCTAGAGATCAGAGACCTGACCACTCCCAAGGTGCCTGTGCAAGTTTATTGGCTTCTCTAAAGACCTTCTTGAGATTGTGTGAAGTCCTGTTGCCCACTATAAAGCCAACATTGCTGACCCACCATGTTTAGGGGGTGTTTTGTTTGACTGACATCTGCATAGTTGCCATCTGAAGACACTAAACTGGTAAGGAGACCTAAACTAGAGTCTGGTAAACCAGATGTACGCCCAGGCCGTATCATCACAGAATGAGGGGCAAGAACATCATGTGGGGCCTAAGTTTGATACCAGTCAAACCTTAGGGGTACCCACAGACTCCAGACCATTTGGGGGGAAAAATCCCATTTTCCTGTTTTAAGGGTCAGAGCTGTCATGTGTGATATATGTGCTCTCTGGCTGTAAGGGTCTTTCTCACCCTTCGAAAAGATATTTAGTGGGTGAGAAGCTTCCATTAAAGAGACAGACAGAAGAGATAATTTCAAATAATAGGCTCTCAGTCAAACTCCGAAATCATCCATCCCTTACTAGGCAGGTATCCAGCCAGTCACACAGGACCCAGGGCCGAGTGAGCAGGGCCCAACAGCAAAGTGGTAAGGAGAACCAAGTCCAAAGCAGGAAGGCCAGGCCAGGCCCAGAAACCTTGCTCTTGTAAACCCCAGTGGGTTTATGGAGGTTGGGTTGAAGGATAACTGGACACAATCACTGTTAATCACGGACAGGATGGTTTTCACCCTCTCCCCCATTCATATTTGAAGCCCTAAACCCCAATGTGATGCTCTTTGGAGGTAAAGCCTTTGGGAGTTAATTAGGGTTAGGTGAGGGCCAGTCTCTGCTGGAACTAGCGTCCTTGTGGGGATAGTCAATAGGTTTCTTTCTGCTGTTTGAGAATACTTTGAGAAGGCAACGGTCTACAAGCCAGGAAGAGGTTATCACTAGGATCCTATTATCTTAGCACTTGCTCTTGGACTTTAGAACTTTAGAAAAGGTCTGTCGAAGCCTCTCAGTCTGTGGTCTGTTACAGCAACAAGAGCTGATTAGATACTTGTCAAGTGCTCTTAATACAAGGCCTGTGAATCTTGACCTGGCAGACACATTGGGCAGGGACAGCTTTGTAACTGGTCCTCCCATGGTGAGAAGACTGACTTCAGCAATGGCCAAAGAACCACTGCTGATGCCATACTCAAAAAAAAAAAAAAAAAGTAGGAGACTACAGGATTTAAATACCATTATTTAAAATTCACTTAATGAGGTATTCTTTGACTCTTTCGTTTACTACTCCTCAAACTGTCCATTTTAGAACAAAAATACTAATAGTTATTCTTGTTACTCACTGGCCCCAACCAAATGTACAGGTTCAGAGTAAGTTCTCTGGCATTTCTATGCTGGGGTATTGATAAGATCTTAACGTGCATTTACATTCTGGGAAGAGGAAGCTGCAAATGACACAAAGTTCACAGTTAAAATGCCACCGTACTTCTGCGTAAGAGGCATGGTACCGCTGAGGTTGGCAGGGTTGTTCTGTACTTTTTGTCTGGTAGCCTTCATTTTTCTGAGGATGGTCTCTCCCATTACATTTAGGAAACCATGACCTTGTGGCCAGACCTCTATCTTTTCTCAAACACTTTTGCCTTTTCTTGTCCAGGATTGTGATTATTTCAGGTCACTGGGTTTCACCGAGGCTCTGCTGTGAGCCAGGGGCTTGACTAGTTCCTGGCACAAACCCCCTGACTGATGGCATGGTCTAGAAGGCCCTTGAGAAGAAATACAGACAACTCTAATTAAAACTAAGCTTTTTGGTAACAGTTATGCTGAGTGCTTGAAGCATAATAGTGATTTTGTTTTGAGTTGTCTTGCAAGGAAATTAACTGACTATATACATACTAACATTTTTGTGTTTGTTAAAATGTACTACTAAACTTCTTTACATGTGTTTTTAAGAGCTGCTGTTGTCAATGATGCAAAACAGAAGTGTGAACAGCTGGAGATGCCCTAGGTGGAGGCGGATGCCTCAACAGTGCCAGCTCCAAGTGGCCTTGCCCTGGGGCAGCCAGCAAAGCCTCCTCCAGAGTTTCTTCTGGGAACTGGGCTGAGGGCCCCTCCTCCCAGGAGAGCCTGCAACTGTGCAGTTTACCTCTGCTCGGGGCTTGTTTGCCCTAGAGGAGCTGTGTAACAAACTGTCCGTGACTTTAGTGGAGGTGGCAGGAGTTCATGGGTCCAGGCATCACTCATACTGTATGAAGCACACACCACTGACTCCAGGCAACTCAAGTCATGTTCTGTGTGGCCCCTCCTCCACCCCACCCCCTGCTGTGGTGAGGGAGTGCCTTGCTCTGGTGGGGGCCTTTCAACTGGCAAACTAGCCAACACCCTGAGAAACTGGGGTGAATAACATCAACAGGATTCGTGACCCTGACCTGTGATCTGTCTTTTTCTGTTCTCACTCAGGTGCAACATTAGAGGAAATAAACCAGCATTGGGACTGGCTGGAACAAAATCTCCTCCATACGTTGTCCGTCTTTGATAATAAAGATGACATTGCCAGTTTTGTGAAGGGGAAGGTGAAGGTGGGTTCCTTGATTTTAATGTTTTGCAATTTTCCTGCTGTAAGACTTCCTTACATTTTGAGCACTCCATCGTTTTTACTGTATTCTTACTGTTTTCTCCTCTATACCTGAGCTAGCTGATTTAATACACTGAGATGAGTCCAACTCTCGTCAACTCTCAAAAACTTTGTACGTCAGTCTGAACTAAAAACACAGCCTCATTCTCAGGCCCAATTTTTGTTTTTCTTTAGAAGTGAAGGTGTTTTTTAATCTAAGAAAAAATACAGTGTAAAAATTTGTTTCTGCCATAGCATTACTTGGCTATTAATTTTTTTTTTTTTTTTTTACAGTTGTGACAACTTGGTAACTATTTTGTCGGACCTAGCATTTTCCTTCTCAAAAGTGGGTGCTGATTCTTAAAACATACTAATCAAACAGAATGAAACCCGATTAACTTTTGAGATGTTTTGGGAGGTATCTATTGATATTTCACTATGTAACTGATCACACTGCAATTACATGATAGGTAACCAGTGCTTTAAAAACCTTAGGAGGCAGGGAGAGGCTATTTCTCATTCTATATTTAGGTCTTTTATTAAATACTCTAAAACATTAACCTGTGATACAATTTTCATTCCTCAGAACTTCAAGACCATTAATTTTATTTCTTTTTTTTTTTTTTAACAAAAGTTTGCTTTTCTAACATAAGTGTGTTAGCTTTTAGCGAAGGGTCTCAAAGTGAATTCTCTAACTTAAAGGGATAAAAGGAAGAACCCTTTTCCTATGGAGGCTGGGGATACTTGTGGGGTCAGGTAGGTAACAGAGGTCTGCTGAGTCTGGACATCGTGGCGGTGTTCTCTGGTTTCCCCCGACTTCTGGCAGGTGGACCAGGCTGAGGCGGGCTCCTGCTCAGCTCGTGGTTACCACCACTGCCTGGCCCTGCTCAGGGTGGCTTAGTTGGAGAAATTACTATTTTACACTTCTCACACTTCACTTTTTTAAATCAAGCATAGCCTGTGCCGGTTCTTTGATTTAGGTGTTCGTCCTACTAATTTGAGGCAGGAAATTCAGATCTGCTACAGTGAGCCTCCTTTAGGAAGGAAGCCTCCTGTGGAGGAGGGAAAACTTTGCTTTGCTCTCACAGGTTCTGTGACTAGGCTCTTGAATTAAGCTGATGAGTCAGATTAATTAGAAAAAGTTTATTAACATATGCAGCATACACAGATGTGAAAGAAACTCAGTGGCAAAAAACTCAATGGTTAGAACTTGGAGCTTATTAGCATCTTAACAAAGAGCGACCAATTTGTAAAGATGCCACAAGACAAAGGAAATGGAATTTCAGCTTTAGTGGTTGCAGCTGTGGGGATATAAGGGGGAGGGATGAATGGAAGATCAGGCTTATTTTAGTAAGGTTTGTTACAGACTTCCCTCAGTGTCTCTGGGTTGCTAAGAGTCTAGAGTTATCTCAGCTGACTTAGTCTAAGTCCTCTTCCTTTACAGAAGGGAGAGATACCTTTACAATGGTCTGTGTTTAGGCAGATCGTGGGGGTCAGGCAGAAGGACTTCTCGACTTCTGTTATTTCTTGGTTGAGAAGCTGGCCTTCAAGCCCTTACTCCCAATTGTCTTCACCTCTAAGTAATCCTCTTACCACAATGGCATAATTTGGGGTAGCATATTCTGATCCCATATTGGAATGCTTCCAAATATGTCCCAAGGAGGCTACAGGCCTGCACAGGGGGCTGGGAACTGAGGGGTCTGCTGTGGCGCCTTTGGGGCCACAGTGTAGTTTCTTTTTTCCTCTGGGAAGATGCAAAGAATCTGGAAATTGGAGCTTTCCCACTCACATCCTGAACACTATGAAACTTTAAAGAAATTCCTTGTTCTGAGCTGTGCCTGGCCATGGAAGTCAGGGCTCCGTGTGGCTACCACGCTGCTGCATCGGGGTGTCTGTTGTGCGTCCATCACCGCCTGCTCTAGAGCCATCTTAAAAAGGCCTTTCATGCTTCCTGGTCCAGAGCAAGGGACTGTGCTCTTAAAGCAGTCATCCTTCTTACTCATAACTTTTATAATTTTTAATGTCTTATTAAATGAAATATGAAAAAGAAGGAAAACATAAGATAAAAATAATTTGAAATGTTGCCAACCTTCAGCTTTAAAGATGCCTAAAAATCCCATTTTAATATTGATGGTAATACCCAGCTAGTTTTTTAAACTAGTTTGTATAGTGCAGGTTTTGAAACAGTTCCCTAAAACCCCCAAAGTAGCCTTATACTAAGGGATAGAACCTTTCATAAAACTCATCTCCAAGAGTAGAAAGGAAGGCAAATGCTGATAAAGTTAAAGGATAGAATTCTAAGTATATTTAAAAAACTGAATACCATTGTATGAGTCCTGGGGCCCTGGAGTTCTGGTACAGTTTCTCATGTGGTAACAGAAAAATTCTCAGTGTAAAAATGTGCATTGACTCACAGGAATGGGGTAAGAGCTTGTGAAACACCTTTTACAACAGTCTCTGGGCTAAAATGCTAGGCACTTCCACCACCTTACCCCAGGATAGGAAACGATCCCTAGTATTTTTTTTTTCTTTGTATTTATTTATTTTTCATATATATATATATTTCATTCATACAGAACTGGGGTACAAGCCAGAAGTTCAGGGGCAGTAAGAGGACTCACCAGAGACAGAGTGGGGAGCAGAACAGGCAGATCGACGAAGTGCACTGCTGAGGGGAGCAGCGGGCAGGGCAGGAGAGGTCTGCTGTGCCACATGGGTCACCTCTGGGGCTGGGGATTGAACTTACACTGAAGTGGCTGTGGCTCGCTTGCAGCGCTGCACTTTAACCCACTGTGCTACCAGGAAGGGCCCTAGTATTATTTGTTACCAGAAAAACAATCATTGATTTAGAAGCTTTCCTTCAAAGTCCTTACTCCCAGTCCAAAGTCAAAGGACTAGAATGCTTTGAAGGGATTCTTGACTTCTGAAACCTTGGCCAACAAACTCCTTTTCTACTGTACAAGACCATGCGAAATGTATCAGGTATCAAACTGAACAGGCTGTCCCAAGATGACACTGACATATGGATTGTTTTGAACTGAGGTCAGTCTAGGGTCCTCCAGCTCGTGAGAAACTTTTACCACTCCCATAATTACCTTGGAGAATGATGATTGGAGGTATTACCTAGAATTACAATTTGTATCAGAAACAAACTTTTCTACCATAGAAACCTTTCCACATGGGAGGCAAACATCTAAAGACAGAGTATGTGATCTTTGCATGTCTCTGCCTCTCTCCTTGAAGCCCTAGGCATCTGTTCCATTCCTCAGCTTATCATATATTCCTCCATTTCTCCCCATTTGCTTTAGAATTGACATCTGTGTAGATTCTCCATACACATGTAATTAAATTTGTTCTTTTCTCCTGTCTGATGTTAATTTGATTGCATAAGCAACCTGAGAGAAACCCAAAAGGGAGGGGGAATTTTCCTTTGTATTCCTCCAACAGGCTGGTGTTAGCTTTATTGCTAATGTTTTTGAGTCTAACGAGGAAGATGCTCAATTTTAACTTCTAATTTAAACTTGGGTGGTACCTCAGGGTTGATTGCTTAAATGCACTTGCCAGAACCAGTCACTTAGTCCTGTCCCTGGAGGGATGAGCAAGAAGATACCCCAACTAGTAATCGGTTGAGAATCAGAAGTCAGTGACTTGCCCAAAGCCCCGTGGCTGGTAAATAGCCAAGTGAGAGTCTTGTTCTTCAATTTTCCATCTACTGGTTTTTTTCTTTCCGATTGTGACCGTGTTTCTGGGTGGCTGACAAATGATTTGGTGAATACTTCTCATCCAGCCTGTGTCGGGCAGTACAGACTCCTGGTGTCTGTGCCCGGCTGTCCTTCCTCTTGGCACCCCTCCTTCACCTCCGTTCGCCCTCCTCACCACACAGGCCCCTTTCTCTTTCTGTGCCAGGCTCTGATTGCGGAGGAGACGAGCAGCAGGCTTGCTGAGCAGGAAGAGGAGCCCGAGAAGTTCCGAGAAGCCTTGGTGAAGTTCGAGGCCAGGTTCAACTTCCCCGAGGCAGAGAAGCTGGTCACCTATTATTCCTGCTGCTGCTGGAAGGGCAGGGTCCCCCGCCAAGGCTGGCTGTACCTCAGCATCAACCACCTCTGCTTCTACTCCTTCTTCCTGGGCAAGGAGCGTAAGTGAGGCCATGCTGGTCCCCAGACAACTTACGAGCCTAAAGAACTAGAAGCAAAAAGATTTAAATAAGTGATTGTGATAATAGATGGTATTTGCTTAATTTCCAAATGACTGTGCATACCCATCTATTCAGTGGTGTATGCTACTATCAAGAAGGGGTCTGCTGTGGTGAGAATTCACATTTTCTGTTGCCTTAAAAGTTTCCATGTCACTCCATTTAGTTGCTAGAGCATTTTTATTATTCCATGTTATAACTGATGGTGCATAATTCTGAAGGAGTGAAATGTACTGCTGCTGTGGTACAGGGTCTTCTCACACTCATTCTGCCTGAAAGGTCAGAAAGCTCTGGAGAAGCTGGGTACACAGTTGCAAAGGAACTTTTCTCCTTGTCCTTAGGGTCTCGATTTATTCTGTGGCAGTCACCATACAAGCCAGGGAATTCTAAAGTAAAAAAGAAAAGCCCCCAGTGTCTTTCCCATTGACACTTCTTCCAAAACTAGATATGTTTCAGACGCCCTTACAGGGTAGTATGGATGTGATACAGGGCAGAGAAAGAGGCACCATTGAACCCCCACACCTGCTGCTCTAAATAGGTTCTGCCATCCGCCGCATCAAGGCAAAACACATAAGACTTTAGTGAAAAGGGACTTTAATACAGTGAGTATACAATACAGAAGACAAAGACTATAATTTCTAAATCAAATACCTGAAGTTACCCTTCCCCTCGTGGGCAAAAGTCAACGCAAAAGGGATTGGCCCAAAGCACGGCCTGAAAGCCCGCTATAAGGCTAAAGCATCTTCTGGATGGGACCCATGGAAAAGGGTCAGAAATGGCCAGACATGTCTGGGAGGAAAAGAGCAAAATCAAAATCAGTATAAACACTGCCATAGTCAACCTCCCCACGGGTCTCTCACCCATATCTTTCAACCAGTTCAGGACCAAGAAATAAACACGGTTTCTTCACATGTCTCCCATTGCTCCTCAGGCTTCCTCAGGTCTCCTTCTGGCTCTCCATCCTTCTTCCTTCTCCCTTCAGATTCCTTCTCTTTTGCTCCTTTTCTCTGCTCAGCTCCACCCTACCTCTGGCAGGGGCAGGGAACCTGGAACTTCCCCTTTTCCTAGGGACCACCCAGTTACAGGTGGATGGGTAATTTTTTCTTTCTGCATCAGGTAAACCAGTGGAGGGGATTCCTTGGGTTCTGCTGTAGCCAGCTCTGTCCCCCTGCACCCTGCCTGCCCCCGCCCCTCTCCCCACAGCTCAGCCCTGAGGCTGGGCACACACACCCGCACGCAGCCCTTCCCCAGCCTGGAATGTGCGCTGGCCTCACCTTTGTCATCCTTGTTCTGCTACTTTCTGAAATTAACACCCTGTCTTTCCTGCCCTTCCTCGCTTATCTATATTTGGAAACTGCTGCTCATCCTTTAAAATTCAGTTCTGATTTTATCATCTCCAGGGACCTTCCCTGGTCTCTATACCATAGTTGCTTCTATTTTGGGGCCTGTTAAGTCAGGGTAGCTTGTTTGTTTACATGTCTGATTTCACTTTTTGAAAAAGCTCAGCACAAAGTAGGTGTTTAATGGGTGAACGTTGATGTGTAGATGGAGTGTATATGAAAGACTATGCAAGCAACTGGGAGTGCTGAAGCTCTTCTAAACCCGATGTAGACCTGTGACCTAAAATTATTAAAACCCTGAAAACATCACTGCAAAATGATGCAAAGAAATGGTGGAAATAAAAACACTTGCATCATCCCTTCCTTCACTTGAAAAGGAAAATGAGTTATCAGTCATTGTCACTAAACCTAATTTTGTTAGGATGATACAATTTGGGGAAAACAATTTATTCCCGTGTTAGACAGCTGTTACTGTTTTAAGCTGTCACATGTGTCTCTTCCCCATTTGCTCAGCATAGTGCTTGAGCCGCTGTATTGGAAACATTTCTGAGAACAGTGCACTTTGTCTATAAAATGTACTATTTGTACTGTACTACTTTAAAAGAGTTCCATAAAAACCACTTGTACCCTATCTTCAATGACTCTACCAAGTGTCATTTGACCCAGTCTCAATGTTAAAAGCCTGGTTCTCTAAACCATCAGGAATAATCCTCTCTTGCACTCCCCACCCCCATAACTTATACTATGCTGCTTTTGAAACCAAAATATTTGCATATTTTGCAAATATTCAAGCTTAAATGTTCTTGAAAGTTTTGACATTATTAACTTGGTATTACAGAATGATGTCCCCAAATGTGTATAGTAGACAGCAACATTAAACATTTTACATACATCTTAATGAAAACCATTAGAATATGAGTTGGTTTCTAACAGCGCACTCAAGAAGTTGTGCTGGTTTAAAGGTATTTGCATTTCAACTTGAGGAGAGCCTTGAACTGTTTGCTGACATATTTAAGTTTGGCTCAGACTTTAGGGTAAAGTTTGTATTTGCCTTTTTTCTCTTCCAGTTAAGCTTGTAGTCCCTTGGGTCGATGTCCAGAAGTTAGAGAGAACGTCCAATGTCTTTCTGACTGATACTATTCGAATCACCACTCAGAGCAAGGAGCGAGACTTCTCCATGTTCCTAAACCTCGATGAGGTGTTCAAGATCATGGAGCAGCTGGCGGATGTGACACTCCGCAGGCTACTGGATAATGAGGGCTTTGACCTTGACCCAGACCTGCAGGAGCCAAGCCAGATCACCAAGAGGTAGGTGTGTTTGCTGCTAGGTGTCCCTCACCTGCACAGGGCCAGCCTGGTGAACTGCAGTGACGGCCTGTGCTTTATAGCTGTGCTTGTCCTAGCTCTAAATTTCCCTGTAGCGTAATACGGATTTTCCTATGCCGTTGATAGTGACAGAGGTAAAGACTGGCAGTGATTACTGCCTACTTCCTATCTGCAGTAGGCTTTGACTTGTAGATCCACTTCTTTTTTTTCCTCATCTATTCAAAGTTGATTTTCATGAAAATATTTCTACAGAATGTAATATGGGCGGATGCATGATAAAATTCTCTTTAGCATTATGCTTCATTAGTGAGCATTAAGAAATTTGGCATTTTCCTATTTAACTAGAAATATGACTTATTGACAGTCAATATTTTTTATTTGCCTTACACTGGTACCCATTGTAGACTTCAGAGGCCGTTGCTTGTCACGTCAACTTCATTATTACCTAGTTCAACTTTATTTTCTATAATGCAAACTGTGGTGTTTGAACTTGACTGTGGTTCTTGACTGTGGTTCACAGTGGGTACTGCAGTGCTGATGAAAAGGTGCATGATTCCAGCCGACTCCTTTGAAAAACAAGTTACCGGTAAAGTGCTGTCCTGGTTGGATGTTTTTGATGTAGATGTAGAATTACCACTGCTATTTTAAAATACAACTTCAATGACTCCTGATCGTTGAAAAAAACAAAACAACCACCATGTAATTTACAATTTTAACCATTTTTCAGTGTATGGGCCAGTGGTATTAAGTGCACTGCATTCTGCTGCCATCACCACCCATTGCAGGGACTCTTCTCGCAGATCTGACACCCAGTACCCACCAACAGTAACTCCCGTTCTACCACCCCCAGCCCTAGAGGCCACGATGCTACTTTCTATGAACTTGATGGTTCTGGATTCCTTGTATAAACAGTGGTGAACCAAATATATATATATATATATATATATATATATATATATATATAATTTTGCCTTTAATTTCACTTCTGATCATGACTTGAAGGCCATGCAGCTGTGAGCACGAGTGTGCAAGCATCTGTTTGATTTTCTACTTTCAGTTCTTTAGGGTCTGTTCCTAGAAGTAGAATCTCTGGTCTATGTTTATTCTATGTCTTGTCACCTACAGTTGTTTAAAAAGTATTTATTTGAGCATTCTTATTACTCCTTATATGTGTACTGTCACCTCTGAACATCTGGGGAATGTCTTTTTTTAAAGATTTATTTATTTATGCAGACAGAGCTGGGGTACAGGCCAGAGGTGCAGGGGTGGTGAGAGGCTTCACCAGAGGCAGACTTCACCAGAGGCAGGGGAGCAGAACAGGCCGACTGACGAAGTACACTGCTGAGGGAAACAGGAGGGTCAGGAAAGGCTGCCACATCATGTGGCTGAAGTGGCTTTAGCTTCTTAGTGCTGTGCTTTAACAGAATGTGCCACCAGGGAGGGCCCAGGAATGTCTTTAACTAGAGGTCTCTGAATAGCGTTGTTTAGAGTTACTATGTGTTCAGAAGTTTAAAGACCCTCCCTGCTGTGTATATACATTTTAAACTGAGCAAGTATGGGTAGAAATTAGGCAAAATAAAAGCCAAATACTCTTTTTTTGGGGGGGGGAGGGGGAAGAAAGGGGATAGAATTTAACAAATTTCCCTTGGTCCTGCATCCTCTCTGGTGACTGAGGCAGGACAGTGCTGCCTCTCATTCCTTCATGAGATGGGGCCTGACAGCTTCCCTGGTCCTCTGACTCCCGGCCCCGAGCTCCTTCATGTCCCTCCCAGCCCCAGGCTTCCCTTTCACCTCATCTGGCCCCTACTTAGGGGACCCTGTTTTAAAAGGATTGCAAACTAGTACAGTGAAACCACACACTGCCATATTTCTGCAAATATCTCTGTAATAACTTGGCTTCTGAATCCTGTTAGTCTCACAAAGATCTGGTGAAAGCATGAATAAGTCTCAGGTGTCTGAGTTGCTAAAGGGCTCATGTAAAACACGAATTAAAGCTTTAACGCTTTTCCTGTGTTTGCACAGAGATGCCTGGTGTAGGGGGCACAGCCTCAGTCTTGGGAGTGGATGTCCGCTCATCGTAGGCCTGTGTCCTGGTCAGCCCCACAAGTGCTGGCATGTCAGGGTGACTCCCCACCAATTTCTTGATTTCCAGTTCCACTTCCAAAAGTGGTATTTGGGGTTTGGGTAGAATTGGAATAGAAGAGGAAGATTGAAAGTCGGTAACCCTTTCGACCCTTCTGGTAAACTATCTGTTAGGAAAGAAATGTCATCAGTGCTGGCGTCTTCATTCAGCTTCCAGAATTCGGGTGAATTCACAGGCTGCTGCCCCTCTGCCTCTCATCCTGGCAGCCCTTAGGAAGGGAAGGAGAGAACAGCAGAGAAGGCCCTGGTGGGAGGCAGTGGTGCACCAGCTGGGTCCAATGGGTACCCTGGTGGGACAGCAGAATTTGGTCCCCAGCATGTTGTGCTGGTCACTGCATTTTGAGTGACACCCTCTAAAAGTGAAAGGCATGTCATTGCCTACCAGCTCCTTGCTGGTTCTCACTTGCAGTTCTGTCATGGAGATGTAGGACTGTGGACACAAACAGGTAATGACTCAGTCAACTTGACATCCTGCCAAGAGAACCCAGTTGCTAAAGTTTAGGAAAACAGTCTCTTCATGCTCTGGGCACAATTAGAAGTGCTGGAATGCTCCTCAGCTCTTTGTTGATCGTTTTTCACTTCCCTTCCCAGATAACGGCTTTAGAAAGCTGACCTTGGGCTCCAGAGGGCGATGAGCTGTCTGATCGGGATTAGTCATGCTTGCTGCTGTGCTCTCCCGCTGGACTGAGGGCCTCTGAACACGGCCAGTCTGCACCTCCAGGGGAGAGGGGATGGTGGGACGGTGCAGTCACCCAGGATCCAGTTAGACAAGTTGGAGCTTGGCAGGACACGGGAATCACCTGGCACAATCCTCATACATCCGGGGGTACCTGGACCATGGTTTCTCCAGGTTGCAGGGCAGAAGCCAGAAGTGGGGGGGCGGGGGCGGTGGGGGGACTGCCATAGAATGGGGAGGGAGGGAATTGATTTCCTGGTTCTGACATTTCCAAGAAAAAAAAATTCATTCTGAAGTTTGGAATGATGCAGTGAGAGAAGTGCGCCTGCTGTTTTGGGATGGGGAGATTCCATTAGGTTGAAAGTAAATATATTCATTAAAATCTGCCTTTGATGACTGTAAAAGCTGGAGGAAAACTCGGTTACTGCGACATAGTGAATGGACGTTACATCCCATCACTTAAGCCCTTTTATCAGTGTTTGACGCGGAGAGGTGGCTGCTAAAGGCTGGTGCCCTCCCAGTCTGCGGATGGTTCATTCGCTCTGGTCTCGCCTCTCCCTGCCTAGACTTCCCTAAGCTGCCTTTCTCCTTGCGCCCTTAGAGCCATGCTCAGTCTTGCTCTGCATGTCTGTGACTTTCTGTCCTGATTCTAGCCGAGTCCTCCTGAACCAACAAGCTGCTCACGTGGGAGCGAGGGCCCGTGTTTCCAGCCCTGCAGATCGCAAGGCACTCGGTGGTTGTGGCGGCTGCCAGAGGCCAGTGTGGCAGGATGGAGGGAGAAGACAAAAGCAGAAGCCTGTTGTTGAGTGAAAACACCTCTGAGTTGTGCCTTGCGGTTGCCATCCTGCTGTCAGGGCTCAGGGTAGATGGATTTTCAAAGGAAACAAGGGGCGGCAGGTCACCCCCGCCGGCTGCCCCGCCCCACGCTCCCGGTGGTGCTGGCTGCCTGTGCACTGTGGGGGCCTCTGGGCGCTGCATTTCCCCTTCCTCAGAGCTCTTGGGACCACAGGAAAGATGTTTTGAGGAGGCTCACATTTGAGAAGCGCAGTGTTTCATGTGTCCACTGGGAGGGGAGAAAGAGCATGTGTACCTGGCCTTTTCTGCCTTTTATTTCTAGTCTTTCATCTCGCTGAGTTTTGGATGGTGTTGGGCTTGGGGACGCAGTGAAGGGCAGCTGGAAGTCTGCGCATTTCTTCTCCGGACTAGCTGGCTGCAGACTCGGTTACTCCAGCAGGGCAGGGGCAGTGGCTCCAGGCTTTCTGCTCACTTGCAGACGACAACAGCTAGCACGCTGAGCTGAACATTGGCCTTGAAGCAGTGTGAAGTCTGCTGACCCCAATAGATTTGGGGGTACAGAACAAATGGCCTCATGAGGTGAGAGGTGTCACAGAAGGTGGACTTCCTCCCAAAAGCATTCTGAAAAGTGAATGAGGGAAATGAGAGAGGTAAACCTGTTCTGGATACATCATTCACTAGGAGAGAAAAATCTAGTTCTGGATTGCAAAAAAGCAGAACTATATACACTCTTAATTTCTTGGGTGTGATGCTTTAGGAGATCTGAATTTTTAAAAAATAATATAATAGTTTATTTTTACATCAATTTGTACATTTTTTTTTCATCTCAATTGTAATCCCCGTGGGTTTCCCATCACCAAGTCACCCATGTGCCCTCACCATAGTCCAGTGCACTTCCCTCCCCCCAGCATTTTTGATCCCATTCCCCAACACCCCATAAAATGTCTCTGGTATATCGCTGTTCATTATTCTTCATTATTTTCTTGCCTGATCCATTATACTCCTGCTATGAGCGAAATAGAAATCTGAATTTTAAGTGTGCATGTAATCTAGAATTTTCTGCATATTTGGTTGCATTTTTTAACTCCAGCTTTAATAAAGCCCTTGATGTTCATTGTTCCACATTCTGGTCAGTCCACATCTTTATCTGCACAGGCATAGGCTCATAAAATGGCGTGTGTTGAGGGAGGATGACTTGTGGCACTTGTCCTGCTGTCCTCAGTTACGGTTTCTCTGGGAGCAGGTGCTCTGACAGTGCACGCCACGCACTGTGGACGGTGGGGAGCAAATACTGCTGGGGCTGCGCAGCTAGTTCCCACCTGTAGTGGGGGGCTGCTGCCATGTGGAAAAGACCTTCGAGTAGCTAACAGGAGCGGAATGGCACGGTCTGACCCATGTCTGTCGGTCGTCACTCTGGGAGGGAAAATGGAGACATTCAGTAAGTACTGTAAGGTCTGACAGGTGAGTTGGGACTAGTGGACTTTGTTTTGATGCTGTTAGAAAAAGGAGGGGATAATTTAGCATCAAACCACTCCCTGTATTGACATGAACCTAAAAGATGGGATGGTCTTATTCTAAACTTCTTAAGTCTGTGCTTTTCATTTGGTAAATCATCTTTCTTCATGCCAGTTCTGTTAGAAAACTGAATATTTATAAAAAAAAAAAACATTTAAAGGCAGAATTGAAAGAGAATTTTCTAGAGAGGAGGAAGGAAAGTAAGAAAATCCCTCTTGCTGCTTTCTCCTTTTTGTAATTTGAGGTCACTGGTCTCTGACTAATGAAACTGCACGAGATCATTTCAGTGAAAGAGAACAGCCTAGAAAGCAGAATGGAGACTTTGTGTGTAGCATACTCAGGCAACTCAGAAGCCACAGAGAAGGGGGGTTTGAACTGAAGACAGCAGGTGCACTGAATAGAAATAAACTAGACTTAATGCTGCTCTGATAACTGAGCAACTTATTTGTAATTTGAAGGCGTGGGCACAGAGTGTGTGTGTGAGTTTTTCTACCCTCCTGTAGCTCAATACCAGCTTCTGTGACTCATCACTCGCCATGCATTCACATCGGCTATCACCAGCTCCTTGGAGGCCAGGGATGTGCTTCCAGGAAGGAAAAGGATGACATTTTAATTTGGAGGTAGTGGCGTGACCATGGTAGGGCATGTGTCATTAGGAGCACTGGCGTCTGCCTTCCCTGAAGCTTTTCCCATTCACATAGGTCAGCTCTCAGTCCATTGGGTGGTGTGGCGGAGACTTGCCTTCCATTCTTAGGAAGCATAAACTTCTAGAGCATTCTTGGTGGCGCTTTCCCATTTTCTCCCAGCTCCTCTAAGGAAGAAGCTCAGATTCCTGCGGAAGTAGGAACTTAAACTGCTGTGACCATGACCTGTGGTGACAGCTTTCATCTTGATGCACAGGATTTGTGTAACTTTGTCTGTGTCCTAAGAACTTTGGACATGTCTGTATCTTTTTGTGAGGACGTACCAATTTCCCCAAAGTAGCTGTACCCATTTTACACCCCCACCTGCAGTGTATGAAAGTTCTTTCTGGTTTCTCCAAACCCTCACCAGCACTTGTTATCTGACTTTTTGAGGCTGGACACATAGTTGTTTTACGGCAATTGACAGTGTCACTCAGCAGGAAGGGATGTTTCCCACTGCTCATGAGTTCATTATGTTATTTCTGCCCAGAGGTAACAGTTCTCCTTTTACTGCCTTTTAAGGGTGGCTCGTGCAGCTGACTTGTGCAGGAACCGGAGGGGTGTGGCGCCTCATTGCCCTCACATCCAGCTCAGGTTGTGCCAGTGGGTTTTCTGGAGCCTTCCATTGTAATTTTCAGGGTGTTTTCTCACCATCCCTTTTTTCTCTCTCCTCCCGCCATTGCCAGAGACCTTGAAGCCAGAGCGCAGAATGAGTTCTTCCGGGCTTTCTTCAGGTTGCCGAGGCAGGAGAAGCTGCACGCGGTCGCGGACTGCTCCCTGTGGACGCCCTTCAGTCGCTGCCACACTGTCGGGCGGCTCTTTACCTCCGACAGCTACATCTGCTTTGCCAGCAAGGAAGATGGCTGCTGCAACGTCATCCTCCCGCTGCGAGAGGTAGCCCCTGCTCTGGCTCGAGCTTCCCGGCAGTCTTTTGCCGCTGTGAACATGGTTGCTGTGAGGTGGGGTGCAGGAAGGAATCTCCCACAGCAAGATCTTGCCGGCAAAAGGGAAGTGTGGTCTGAATTGGGCCATCACCTCTTTGGCTGCTGCGGTGGCTATGCTCGCCAGAGCTGTGCCTAGACGGTTAGGGCATACTCACCTCCATTTTATTGATAAAGTGCTGTGTTGAAAAGCACGAGCTTAGCAATTAAAAATTTTCTAGCAGCTTTTAGGAATGAAACCTACCCTTTTATTCACAAAATGGGGGAAAAGGATAACTTACAAGAGTATCACATTTTCAAAGCCAAGCAAATGTCAAATTGCTTGGCTTTTATAACCTCCCCAAACTTCAGTTTAAAATTTAAAAAAAAAAAGCTTCCTATAGTTGGTACTTTCCTACCATTAAATTCTGTAATTTTTTTGGAAATGTGGGTGTGGGGCAGCCTGAATTAATTCCCACATCTGATGAACTGAGCCCTTTAGTTTCGGGGCCTGCCTGTTGTACCCCACTGCTTTTTACACATCAAACCCAGATTCTCGCTGTTGTAACCTGTGAACTAAGCATACTATTGTTTGGGAAAACTCAAACTTCATGTGATCCCTTAGCTCCATGTTATTTTTTTGCAATTGATGTCATTTTACGAGTAGTCTTATGAGTTGAGCAAGAAATCCAGGATCTGATACATTTTTTGAAAAATGTGGCAACATATACATGACATCAATTATTTGAACCAATTTTAAGGGTTGCAGCTCGGTGGCATCAGTACATTCGCACGCGCGTGCAACCAGCACCAGATTGTTTCTATCTTCTAAACTGATACTATGCCCATTACACTCAACACCCCTCCTTCCCCAGCCCCGCAGTCACCTTTCTGTTTTGTCTGAGTCCGACTGTTCCCGGTACTCGTATGAGTGGAGTCATATAGCATTTGTCCTTCAACAACTGGCTCCTTTACTTAACATCACGACTCCCAGGTTCATGGACGCAGCACGCATCAGAACACTCAGCTTTTTTAAGACTGGATGGCACTCCATTGCTCCATACACCACGTGCTGTCTTGCCACAATCCATCAAGAGACTCTTGAGCTACTTCTGCCTTTTGCCTATTGTGAACAAGCTGCCTTCTATGCCTTTCCTAACGGCTATTTGATTGTGCCTTCTATCTTGGGCGATTGTATAAATATGTACTGAAATGCTTGCCGGCCTTCTGCCTCGCTGGACCTTTGTGTGTAATTCTTTGCAACAGGTCGTGAGCATTGAGAAGATGGAGGACACGAGTCTGCTGCCTAACCCCATCATCGTCAGCATCAGGAGCAAGATGGCCTTCCAGTTCATCGAGCTCAAGGATAGAGACAGCCTGGTGGAGAGCCTGCTCCTGAGGCTGCAGCAGGTGCACGCCCACCACCCTGTGCATTACGACACCTCCCAGGATGAAGACATGGTACGGCTCTTCTGCCCTGTGGTATTCCTTCCGGGGGCGGCCCCTTTCACCGCCTCTAGGACAGTCGTCCCAAGGGGGAATGCACATGAAGCTGATTATCTGTCAGGTTATTTGGGCTGTGGATCAGACAGTGTCATTTCCATACACTGGTTCACCTGAATGGGTGTTAAACAGGTGAGAAGCTGCCTCGCACAGATTTAGAGAGATTGATGGGGTGCTCCACAGATTGGCAGCACTACTGGGGCACCCCACTTACAGGTTAGAAGAGTTGACAGGCCCCTTCTCTACATGTTAGAGGTTGGTGGGGTGCACTTGTGTGTGGCAGGCAAGGAGAGGCCAGGCCCGCACAGGCTGCGGGCTCTGGTAGCGAGTCAAGCCATGTGCGAGTCGACCCCTCCTTACAGGTCTGAGGATGGTCTCCAGCGGGCGCCCCCACCCCCGAGGTTGGAGGCAATGGTGGAATTTGGGGGCAGATATAATTTGCCGAAAGAGAAGGTTCATTGTCTTTGAGGCTGGGCAGCTGCAAACAGGGCCTGGCTCTGCTGGGCCTCATCTCCTGGTCTTCTTTTCTGTCTCCCTTTCTTGACGTGTCTTCATGTGAAGCCATAGCTGGGATGAAGGCAGCTAAAATCTGAGGCGCCTAGAGCTGTTTTCTCAAGATTTTCACCTTCCGTGTTGGGGGCTGAAGCCTCCTGCCCTCCCAGTCCTATGGCCCCTGGGCCCTGAGCAGCCTGCCTGGGAAGACAGTGTGGCCCGTTCTCCTCCTCCAGCCTGTGGGGCTTCATGTTGCCCTGTTTTTCCCTTGAGTCATAAACAGACGTGTTTGAGTTTGCTAGACGCACGCTGCCACGGGCAGGGCAGAAACCGTCCAGTGAAACAATGGCTTTCTTCTTTCTGACTGTTGTTTTTCCATGCAGGCTTCCCCTGTGTTTCATTCAACAAGCATATGCAGCGACCACAAGTTTGGGGATCTTGAAATGGTGTCTTCCCCAAATAGTGAGAAAAGTGAAGAGAAGAGCCTGCGGCTGCACCCTGAGGCCCTGATAGCTGTCTCCCAGCAGTCGGGGGGCCAGAGCCCCGACTCTCGACTGGTGGGTGTGCACGGTGCCCTTGCCGGGCACCTGTGGGTTTGGCACAGGGTTTCCTTCTGTGACCCACCGAGGAGTGTGCACTGCTGGCGCCAGCCCCGCCAGGCTCACGGCACCCTGGAAAGCCGGCGCCGACCGCCCTGCCCTTCTCAGTGGGGGTCGGTGAACGCTAGGAGCACCTGCCCCTTCCGGGCACATGGAGGACATGGGTGCTGCAGGTTCCGGAGGCCGAGAGTGCTGACTCTGGCGGGGATCTCCAGGAGCCGAGCACGTCTTTTTCCCTTTATCCAGGGTTGTCTGTGCGTGCTGGTTTCTTGTCTGTCTTCCGAGACAAAGGGCTGTCTGTCTTCAGTCCTACTGAGCTCAGCATAGCCTCCTTACACTCACTTATAGTTGTTGTAGAGGGAATCGGGGGAAATAATAGGCTGGAGAGTGTATTTGGAAATGGTGGCCCTGCAGGTGGGAAGCTGTGCTGGAACGCTAAGCCCCAGGCGGGCGGCCGAGCAGCCTGTCACCCCAGGCTGCATTTGGGTGGCTTATGGCTCCCGTCATAGTTGATTGCTGGCTTTATTCATTCAGGATGAACCTTTCCATATGCTTCACATAGAGGTGTTCAACGAACTCTTGTTGACCAGACAGCAGTATATTGAACTATATGTATATCCTGGAGAACCTCACTAAGTGAAAAATCACTTATCAAAGTCTTGTTTAAAAGGCACTAAAGATTCCTGTCTGGATAATTTTAAAGGATTTTTAGTTGTCTAGAGAAATTATAACTTGGTTACTTCTGAGAATGTTTTTTTTTTTTTTTTTTTTTTTTTTTTTCCTTTTGGTTTTTTTTCCCCCCTAGCTATCAAGAAGGTCAGGACATTTTATTTTCCAAGTTTGGGTTTTTCCCTTGCTGTTGGGGAGGGCAGGACAGATACCCCCTGAGCGGACTTGTGCTTTGGCACCAGCTCAGGGTAGACACCCGAGGGAGAGTCCCCGCGGTCTCCCTCCCCACCCTCCTCCCACCGGTGCAGGCTGCTTTACTATCTGGATGAGCCTATTCTTACTCTGACTTTTGCCAAGGAAATGGCCTTTAGTTGTGTTTCCCCTGGGCTCAGAGCTCCTGAGGACTGGTGTTCTAGCCTCTGCCTTGCTGGCGCTCAAAAATATGTGTTGAATGAATTGCCTGTGGCTGCTGGTTCCTGGACAGGCTGCCCCTTTACATTAAGAATGTTTCCATTTCCAGTCCAGAGAACAAATAAAAATCAGCCTGTGGAATGACCACTTTGTGGAATATGGCAGAACAGTGTGTATGTTTCGCACAGAGAAGATCCGGAAACTTGTAGCCATGGGGATCCCTGAATCTCTGAGAGGCAAACTGTGGCTCCTCTTTTCAGGTAAGTTATTTTGGTGTGTTTAGGCCAAATACTCTTTCTGAAGTGGGAATTGAAGGCCCAGACCTGAGCGGTGTGCGTCTGTGCAGTCACATGTTTTTCTTCCTGTGACGTTCATCACTGTGTTAGCTGTGGGGCTTTGGCCAAGTTACCCGAGGCCTCTGGGCTGCAGGGTGTCCTCCTTGGCCCATGTGAGGCCTGACCAAAGCCCCCTCTTCTTGAAATACCATTGTGAGTCTCTACTAGTCCTAAGAAGTCTGTTGAGGACACTCTGGAAGTGAGGTATTTTTCTTGAGCATCTTTGCCTCATACATAGCTTGGAAATTGATTTTAAAATTACAGAAAAACTTTGTAAATCATTCACCCGCAGTGAACGACCAGTTCTCTCCTCTGTTCAAGACAGTGTCCACAGGAGGCAGAAGTGTAGGTTCCTTTTCTTCCCTGTGTGCTGCCTGTGCCACCGAGGGTGCCCTTGTCCAGCCAGTCTCCATCTGCTGTTGGGGAAGCCCATGAGGTCCTTATCAGGACACCTGGCGATGGCCCGAGAGTGGCAGGGAAGGCCCCTGGGGCCTGGTGGTGCAACTCGACTGTTCTTGTCAGGGGCTGAGGGAGGGAGGTGAGGGGTCTGCTCGTGCTGGTCTCTGCCCCCACCACTCTTCATGGCCTCCCTCCTCTTAGCCTCTTGCGGGTCCCTCCCACACAGCCACGTCTGTCCTCTCTCTGCCTCGTCTTTCCTCCAAGTAGCTGAGCTCCTCCCCTTTGCTGCTGAGGATGTCTGGGTTCGGATCTCCTGCTTTGGCAGAGGTGGCGCTGTACTTGGTATTCACGCCGACCTGCCCCGCATGGCTCACCCCGTTTCACTGACGCGTCACCTCTGCCCTGTCTCTGCAGCTGCTGCCCAAAGATAGACTGTGAGCAGTTCTGAAATTATCTTTTGTATTTTTGTATTTAATCAAAACAACTGTATATTTATAGTTGAAAAATGAGAAAATATGGAGGAGCCAGCAAGGAAAGGAACACTGACAAAATCCTGCCACTGAAAGGTGACGTGCATGAATGCCGCTGGTTTATATCCTTTAAGCCCCTTTATGTAGCCCACATGTGCATCCTTTATATTTAAAAGAGCCTGTGGAGGGCCTTCCTGCTGGCACAGAGGGTTCAGTCTCAGCACTATGAAGCTATTTGTGGCAGAGTTTGATCCCCAGCCAGGAGATGACCCACTTGGCACAGCAGACTTCTCCTGTCCTACCTGCTGCTCCCCTCAGCAGTGTATTTCTGTTAATCTGCCTGTTCTGCTCCCCACTCACTCTGTCTCTGGTGAATCTTACCTCCTGCACCTCTGGCCTGCACCCTAGCTCTTGTATGCATAAATAAGTAAATCTTTAAAAGAAACAATTTGGGGCTATCTGTTCAATCAAGTGATTCGGTGTTTCCTTTGTTGACAGTGATTGCAGTCGTGTTTTAGCTGTTGCTAAGTGAGTGGCAGCTGTTGGTGTAAGTGGTGATTATGTGTGAGCACCATGGTGACTGATGGATATGACTGGAGTCAGGCATTGCAGAAAGGAGAATTGAGAAGAATGTCATGTAAACCCAGTGAAAATTAAAATGTTAACCAGCTGTTGAGGCAGACCTGTGCCCTTTCTGTTCTCCCCTGCCTCCCTGACTGGGGCTGGCCTACATGCCAGTGCCCCGTGCCTCCAGCCTGGGGCTGGGTCCACACTGATCGGAACCTTCTGGTGGTGACTCAGTCCTCCCCAGGGCTGCCCACATGTGAGAGACCTGGCAGGAGCTGGTGGTCTGTGCTTGGTCTTCCTGAATATCAAGAGCCCAGCCTTTAGTGTCTTGTGGGCAGCTTGCTGTCTCCTTGATAACTGTCTTTTAGCTTAACTGAATCATAGTTACACCTGTGCTCATGCTTCACACCTAGGGGCGTAACATCTTGGTGAGTGAATGAATGAAATTGTATGTGTAAATGTGTATCTATACATGTATGTATGTGTGCGAACACCTGTTAATAGGGAATGTGACTTATTCAAAGCACATTAATTAAAACTACTTATAATATGAGCCTCCTCTATAGAAGGTTACTCCTAGAAGAGGCATTTTGTCCCCCCCACTTTTTTTGTTTGCTGAGAAATGAAATCCTCTCGGTTGTGTGGCCTCAATATATTTTTATGCCCTTCAAATAATGACACCCCACTGAGATCCTCCGGCAGAACAGCCCTCTCCCCATATTGACACCATCCTAGTAGTCTGTCTCCCTGGAAAAATTAAATCATCAGATGCCGTGACCGACCTGGCCTCACACCCCGGCTACTATGGGAACCTGGTGGAGGAGTCCATGGGGAAGTGCTGCCTGGTGACCGAGGAGATAGAGCGGGACCTGCACCGTTCCTTGCCTGAGCACCCTGCCTTCCAAAACGAAACGGGGATTGCTGCCTTGAGGAGAGTCCTGACGGCTTATGCCCACCGGAACCCCAAAATTGGGTACTGCCAGGTGAGGTGTGCATGAAGGAGCAGACTCCTGTGTGGTGTTAGCCCCAGGCTCGTTCTGCCGTCCAGTACTGAGGACTGTTGTGTGGGGGCTCGCGCTGCTCCCTCCCCAGGACTGTAATGACTGAGGCCAACGGCAGTCACCTACATGTAGTCAGGCTGGTTGGAGGAGGTAGAAAAGCCATGCACGTGCTCACTCTGACTCATTCTCATGGTTCCCACAGGACTCCATCGTAATTACGATGGGGTCCATCATGTTCCACGAAGCTTTGTCCTTCTAGACTTCTACAGGAGCTGTGGGGATTATTTTTTAAATGGCAGTGCTATTTAGAGGGGGAGGATGGGCAGGTCACTTTCCTTCAGGAAACCGTGGGGGCAGGACATTCTCTGTGCAGTTCCCGAATTTGGGGAGACAGTAAACAAGGACCAAGTACAAATGGGCAAGTCAAACCAACAGCAGGACTGAACTGGAAAAGCATCTGACATTTAAAAATACGATTCTAAGCAGTTTTCCTGTGAGCAGGCAAGGTCTCTGGGTGCGTGGAGTGATGTGCGTCTGAACGTATGCATAGACAACCGCTGGATTTAATGTGCACCTGACGCACGCCCCACAGTTTGCTGCAGCCCTACTGGAGGGTTGGCGACAGGAGGGTGGTGGTGGCTCAGCTGGTGCGTCTTGAGAGCCCCGTGCTGATAGCGTGGTCGCACCAGCCACAGGCTAGGCCCCTGGGCCTCTCGTCTATAAAAGCTTGCTTCTTGTGGGTCATTCAGGCTTCTGTGTGTTACTCTCTCTTGGACCATGCGGTCTGGTAACTGCCCCCCCTCTGTGACCCCTGACAGTCCATGAACATCCTGACCTCTGTTTTGTTGCTGTACGCCAAGGAGGAGGAAGCCTTCTGGTTGCTGGTTGCCGTATGTGAGCGGATGCTGCCTGACTACTTCAACCACCGAGTGATTGGTGAGCCGCTTCCCTCTTCCTAGTCTGTACCTGAGGGTAGGGACAAAGCCATCATCCCTGGCCATGACCCGCTAAGCCAGTCTCTGTGCAAATACTGTTTGGTTCTTGACCCTGCAAAATTGGTGTCGTTCTCTACACAATGGTGGAATAAAGTAAAGTAACCTGAATATTCTGCTTTGAACACTTATGGGTTTGGGACGGAGACATTTTAGATGGAATTTACAGGAAGGAAAGAAACAAGTCAAAAGAGAAAACTAGAGTGGCTTTTCACAGATGCTGTGGCTGGAAAGGAAGGAGGATCTTGCTCTGGGCAGCCCAGGCAGACCTTCCTTTACTCTCAAGAGAGTGATTGGCTGAATACGCTGGAGCCTGTTGAGGCCGGATTAAAAGGGCAGACTTGGAAAGCCCCTTTCCACATGGTAAGGCGGCTCATTTGCTGCCACAGGGCTCTAGACAAATCTGTGCACCTTCCCTGTGGTTGACATTTGAATTCGTGCTCTTTTGTAGTTCAAGAACCACCTGGAAGCAATCCTGAAAACTGCTTCAACTTGGTCACACTCTCAGATCATCTCTCATCTAAATTACTAAAGATTGAGAAGGCCAGAAGTTAGCGTGAGAACAGAAAACAAAGAACTGCATCTAATGGCCTAGGTGTGGGGGGCAAAGCAGGAAGAAGAGGCGTAAAGAGTGATGTCCCAAGGATGTGCTGACGTCTAGGGGTCAGGGGAGGGCAGCTGGCTGGGAAGGGAGGCAGCTGCTTTGCGCCTGCTGGTGCCTCACACTGTCCCTTCCAGGCCCTAGCGGTAGTTGGCTGACTCTACTTACTGCTTACAGTGCGGGAGGTGGTTTGATGTTGTTCAGTGTAGCGAGGAATAGCCAGAACCTTGGGGTCACTGAGAGGCATACTGTCCAAGCCACCATAAAGCCACTCGTGGTGAGTGTTGCCACTGCACGGCCTGTCTCAGCAGTGACCTCAAGTCCCTCCATGATGCTGCTGACGGCAGCGGGACGGGGTGGAACACGTGCGGCACTTCCATGGCCGGCGCGGTTCCCTTCTGTCCCTCCCGTCACAGGCCGTAGTGGAGTAACTGGTACTGGTTTCCAGCACTGCAGATTAAGTTGGCCTCTCCTTGAACTGTTACCTAAAAATGTAAGCCTAGAGAAAGTTCTGTGTCTGGCTTCTTTCACACAGGGCTGTTACTGGCACGCCAGCAGTGGGTCCCTCTTTGCTGAGTACTGTCCCACGGTCCATTTAGGCTGGGATTTGTTTGCCTAGTGGGCATTTGCAGTGTTTCCAGTGTAGGGCTATTGTAAGTTAAGTCGCAGGGAACACTTGCATGTATCTTGTGAATAGCCATTTTCTTGAGTATTTGTCTAGGCGTAGAATGGCTGGGCACAGGTTGAACGCGTGCTTAGCTTGGTAAGAAGCTGTAGGTCCTCGTGACCCTGCCAGCCAGAGCAGCCGTGTGGTGCGATGGGATGTGCTCACATACTCTGGCCGACCAGCTGGGCAGAGCGTGCCAGGCACTCATGTCCCTACTAAGTCTAGCCGTTCCAGAGGGTAAGAAGTGATAGCTCGTGGTGGCTTTACCTTTCACGTCTCTGACAATGGTGTAGAACATATTTACAGTACTTATGGGGCATTTGTTTATTGTCTTCCTTGAAATGTCTCCTCAAATCTTTTGCTCATTTAAAAAAACAATTGTCTTATTACTAAATTGCAACTTCACTTTTGAAAAGTTTTATGTACTCCAACTCAGATATTTCCGAGTTCAATTTTGCATTTCTATGTTAATAACTGGTAAGTCTTTTTGAGAAAATTGGTCTTTAATTTTGATGAAACCCAATTTATAATTTTTTTTTATGGCTAGTGCTTTTTGGATCTTAAAAAGTGTTGCCTTCCACTGTATTTTCCTTTAGAAGTCTTTCTAGTATTAGCTTTTATTGTCTATGGCATATTTGAAATTATTTCCTATAGGATAGGAAGTAGGGGTCAAAGTTTTCACCCCCATACAGATACCCAATTAACTAAACACAATGTTTTGAAATATTCTCTTCCCTGCTGAATCACTTTGGACAAAATTTCAAAAAATAATGTGTGAGTCCTTTTCTGGAGTCAAATGCTGCTTCCTTGTTTTGCTTATTTCAAAGTAGTTTCAATTTCAGTCCCTCAAGAATGTGACTCCCTACCCAGCCAACTGTGCATGGCCTGCCTTTTGCAGGGGCCCAAGTGGACCAGTCAGTGTTTGAGGAGCTCATCAAGGAACACCTGCCTGAGCTGGCAGAGCACATGAACGACCTCTCGGCCCTGGCGTCCATTTCGCTCTCATGGTTCCTGACCCTGTTCCTGAGCATCATGCCTCTGGAGAGTGCAGTGAACGTGGTTGACTGCTTCTTCTACGATGGGATCAAAGCCATCTTCCAGCTGGGGCTGGCTGTGCTTGAGGCCAATGCTGAGGACCTGTGTAGCAGCAAGGATGATGGCCAGGCCTTGATGGTCCTCAGCAGGTGGGTCCAGGGCCCCTGCACTTGTAGCTGACTAGGGTTGAAGTGGGCAGGAACAAACTCTGGAAGGCCCATCGCTGCATAAGTTTCCCTTCCACTCTGTCAGCTGTCCCTGTGGTTCCCCTCAGAGCCAGTGCATCATGTTGCTCTCTTGCTGTTTTGTGGTGAACAGTGCCACCTTCCTGTAATCTCCACCAAACAAGAGAAAGAAGAGGGGGTGTCAGTGCTTTCCCCTGAGATCAAACTCTTGAATCTCGACGGACACATAGTCACTTTGCGTAGTGGTGGGAGACCGGGAGCCCCCTGGAAATGTTGGCGCTGGTGGGTGGCTAGCTCTTAGTTTCAGATATTTTATACAGGGGCTGGCCAGTTATTGTGAAAGAAAAGTCCCACTAATCAGGGATTTTTCTGGAATCTGGGTGTCTTGTTGCTAAGGGCAACATAGATAAAAGAATTATAGAAGCTTAAAATTGCACAGGAATTTGCATTTAATTTATTGGAGAATCACCGATGCTGGGAAACCTGGAGCCTATATCGGCAAGTCAGCTTTGTGGGTTCTGTAGTTCTTTCTAAACATAATGGTCGCTCCCTTGTCCTTCTGCCAGCATTTGAGATAGGCAGCTGTGTCTGACAAGGCAGTGTCTGATAACCCACGGGAACGCAGAGGGTATGATGGAGTGCCGGGTGAGGCTGTAATGTGGGTGGTGTGCTCAGATTTCTAGATCACATTAAGAATGAGGACAGCCCAGGACCCCCTGTTGGCAGCCATCATGCCTTTTTCTCCGATGACCAGGAACCTTATCCTGTGACAGACATTGCTGACCTGCTTCGGGACTCCTATGAGGTAATTGGGCCCACAAAAAATTCTCCATGCCCACCTCTAGCTACCCCTTGGGAGCTTGTTGAGGAGATAAGCTTTGAGGGAGGTTTCCTAGGCTACTTGTTTCCTGCTTATGTGCAGAAAGGAATTCTGAGAATGGATAATCTCATTTCCCTGCAGAAATTTGGAGATCAGTCAGTGGAGCAGATTGAGCACATGCGCTGTAAGCACAGGATCAGGGTTCTCCAAGGCCACGAAGACACTACCAAACAGAACGTTGTAAGTAGAGGCCTCTCAAAGGTGGCTGTTCCTGGCGGTCAGGTGCTGCCCTGGGAGAGGGGGAGCGAGATTCCCTGATGGCCACTAGCATAAGAATTCCAGCTTTTTTTTTTGCATTGTATTAAAAACTTAATGGATATGCATTGAATCAGACTGTGAGTAAATTAAGCATGGTGAGTCTGTGTCCCCAGGTGAAGGTAGTAATGTCCACTGTATGGAGTTACTGAGGTGGGAGATTTAAAATGCCTAGCAGAGGAACTTACTGCCCAAGCACCATCCTCGCTGGCTTTAAATTTCCATGAGAACTTGTACTTTTGTCTTGTGACACTGATAGGTGAATTAGCTGGAGGCTGAGGATGAACTCCTAAAGTGACCCTTATGCCAGAGAGATGCAGGTGCAGTGTTGTGAGGGAAGCTGGTAAAGGTGCCTGGTGACCCCACTAAGGGAAGGGCCCTCCTCCATCCTGATGGCTGCTGCATGCAAAAAATGTACTCCTTTGATTTTGTCTTTTCCAAAGCTCCGAGTCGTTACCCCAGAAGTCTCAATTCCTCCTGAAGATCTAGAGGAACTCTATGATTTGTTCAAGGTATGAGAATGTGGGAAGGTGGGGATGACAGCCTGCACAGGATGAGCTCTGCATGCTGGAGAAGCGACTGTGGGCCTGTTCTGTGGCAGCAGAAGTTGGTAGCACACCTGCCAGCTCTGCCTGAGTGTTCTTGCTACTCTTGAGAAATCTCTCTCCCACAGTCCTCTGTCAACAGCTCTCTGTAAATGACATGAGCATCCTCTTCGGAGCCAGCCCAGTCAAGCATCTGGCAGGGAGGAGCAGGTGTGCCCTCTGGGTAAACCCAGATCTCACTCAGCCGGTGGGCTAAAGCATCTGTGTTTTGCTGACAGGGCCTTCGCTGCGGGGACCTGTTCTGTGCTCTTGCGCACTGATACCCATTTTATGCTAGGTGAAACAGCGACCTGTGGTGAAATGCTCACCTCATCTATTCTTAATTACTCATGATCCTACCCTGCAATGTATGTATACAGATCTTTATACTTAAGGGGCTGGCATGCATGCCGGTTTATATTTTATTTGTCCTTGCTGCTGTTACTAACACTTTTCTATGTTGCCGCGAAGCTTTACTTTTCTAAGTAACTTTAGAGTCTATCATACTGGTGATACTTTAAAGATTTACTTATATTTACTTAAGAATTGGAGTATAGGCCAGAGGTACAGGTATGTGTGTGGGGGATGGTGGTGAGAGGATCCACCAGGGAGAGTGGGGATCTATTGAAATGCACTGCTCAGAGGAGCAGCGGGTGAGACAGGTCTGCTGCACTTGGCCAGGACTGAACTCATGCGACTGAACTCATTCCTCAGAGTCTGGTGACGGCTTGATAATGCTGTATCACTAGGGAGGCCACATTGGTGATAATACACTAAATAATCCCGATACTTGACAATTTTTGTATATTCCTAGGTTTTCCTACTTAAATTACCCTGCAAAGAAAGCTTTCTTGTTTAAGTAAGTTAATAAAAATTGGGGAGACAGGTAGTCAGATCCATCTACTCCTGCTTCCCTGGGAGAACAAACAGTTGCAGAAAGTTAGTCCAACGCTGAAGAGTCTCTCCTCTGGAGTGCTTCCTGGTGGGAACGCGGAGCCACCATCACTTTTGAACTCGAACTGCCAAAACAGGGGAGGTGGTAGAGAGCAGTGCTTAGGGACTTCCAAGTGGGCTTCAGAGGCATCACAGTGCTGTTGGGCCGGGTTCCCTGGGTCACTGCAGTGGGTTGCTGGGCAAGTACGTTCCTGGCATGTCCCATTCATAATGAGCAGGATGCGTGGCGAGAACTACTCAGGCTCGTGTCTCTTGTAAACATCACCTGTTTTCAAGTTTTATAGTTTCCTTTGTTGTATAAAGAGAAAGTACAAGGCCAAAGGTTACTTAGTGTCCCAAGGCCCAAGTGTTCTTTCAAGGAGGAAAAATAGGAATATTAGGATCATAAAAACAGTAAGAAAATGTGGTTTTTAGTGTAAAAAGTAATTTCTTTAAGGCTAACTTGAGAAGCACATAAAAATGATTTATTGTAAATGATCAATAAAAATATCTCATTAAATATTAACCCTATTGTTCATCTGTAATACAAAGACTTGAAAGAAGATGATGAAAGCTACTTCTTCGTTCCTACTTCTATCTTTCTAATAAAGATGAAGAATGTGATTGGCATTTAATGAAATTTTCTGTATTTGTACTTAGCCCTTTTATTTATGTAGGAGCAATTAAAAATGTAAACAGCTATACAGTTGTAAACTAAAATAACCTATAAATTATGACTGAACCATAAATTATTTAAATGTTCACTTCTAAGGGGCATTTCTGTTTCATTTCCCCCCTCGCTTTGTAAGCAGCTTTACTCCACATTCTCGTGCATTTATCTGGATACTAGTGCTGTTTCTGTAAGATGGATTCCTCAGGGAGGCACAAGCCAAACTTTAGTCAGTATTGCTAGTTTTTGATTTTTCAAACTTGACTTTCACTAGTAGTGTCTGTGTACTTGTTTCCTACAGTGTTTATTACTAGTAAACATTTCGGTAGATTTTTTTTGAAGTTGCATTGCAATTTCAATGTTAATTCATTAGTTAGTTTTGAGTACCAAATTTAAAGTTTATTGGTTAGTTGTAGACTTCTTTGAGGCATGTTTATAACCTTTGCCTGTTTTTAAATTGGTTTCTCTGTGGGATTCTGTGTGAACTGGTTGTGTTAGTCCTTGGCCTATACATTATAACTGTTTTCTTCTGGGCAGCATTTTATGGGCTTTTAGCATCACAGTATGTACAGATGTGCATGGAAATTCATAGTGTGTCTTGGGATTTTAGGAATGGAAACTTTACCACACCTTTGTTTTAAGCTTCAAGTTGCTTCTAGTATTTTTTTCACAATTGTTCAAAAGCTATTTAAAGAACATGGCTGAAATAAATATGACAGTAAAATTGTAAATGGCATGTTGGCTCCACCCAAGGGTATGTACTTGGCATATTAGAACATCTGCACTTGTTTCTGTGTCCTCCTTATGGGCAGAGGGCACTGAAATTCAAGAACCCTGCAGTCACTGGAAGCCATTTCAGTGAACTGAGATATCCTAAAAGGTCACTTAATACAGGTGGAAAAGATGTATTCTAAAGAGGCTAGTTGTGTGTACAGTGAGAAGGCCAGTTTTGATTACTTAAAGACTTTATTCTTAAGACTTTAACTTGCCTTTTTATTTAATTGTTCATGTATTCATGTGATTCAATTTAGAATATTATCTAAAGTATGCAGTAAAAAATTTTGTTTCCACATCTGGGTCCCTGCAAACATTTTCCCTCCACACAAGTGTTAACTAGTTTCTTCTGCCTCTTGCAGATCTGTGCAGCACTTTTCACTTTCAAATGAGATTTTAAGTGAAAATAATCAGAATAAAACTTGTCTTTTATAATTAATACTTTCACAACTGTACACTGAAAAATGCTTAATGATAAAGTTCTGTATATTTGGTGACAATAGGGAAAAAACTTAAAAAGATATTGCAGAGTAAGAGAATTAATCGGACTTTTATACAACTAGCCTTAGTGGCTATTACCTGTGGTCTTAATTGTGTTAAGGCGGCATTTTGGAGTATGGGTGTGGGGTGCTTATGCCTGATTTATGGACCTAAGCATGGGTATGAGCATGCATAAGGTGCACACCTGAAAAAGGGCTGAAAGAGGGAATGCCAGAGAAAGAAGCATAGAGATTGGTGGGGGCTAGGAGGCTGTTACCTGCCTGCCTCCCAGACCCCTGCCCTGCCTGTGCTGCCTCCTTGCATGCCAGTCTCCTGCTGGGTTCCCTGAGAGCATCAAAGCCCGAAAAACCCAAGGGCTCTGGGATTTTCTGTCCCTCCGCCCTAATTGATAGTAATTTTGATATCAAAATTACGTATTTATAGAGGCAAAGACTACAGAATAGCAAGAAAAGCCCTATACATGTTTGGTTAGTAGTGAGATTATAATCCAGACTTTTTCAATTATTGTCATGTTGCTTATTTAATAACTTCATAGGGCAAAGCAAGTCATGAGAGGCCATGGTTGCCTTGGCCTCAAGCATGCAGCCTTCCACAGGTGCCTCCACCTCTCACAGATCCCTATTTCTCTTGCATAGAGAGAACACATGATGAGCTGTTACTGGGAGCAGCCGGGACCCATGGCCCCGCGTCACGACCCCAGCAGGCCCTACGCGGAACAGTACCGCATCGACACCCGGCAGTTTTCCCACCTGTTTCAGCTTGTCTCACCATGGACCTGTGGGTCCCACACTGAGATCCTTGCTGAAAGGACTTTCAGGCTCCTGGATGACAACATGGATCATCTTATTGAATTTAAAGCATTTGTGAGCTGTCTCGGTAGGACTCTGTGCTCTGTTGCAGTGAGTTGGTTTGGGATGTGTGTCTGAACATGAAGTAGATTTGGAGCAGGCAGACCTACACAATTATGTGTATTTGTGACGTGGTTTTGATTTGGTCACTCTGCAGGCCCGTCATGACCACTTTCATGCTTCCTTAAAGCTCGTGGGGAGAGGGAGCACTAACTTTTAACACAGGTCACTGACCTTTTTGGCATCTGGGATTTGCTGGTAGCTTGTTAACCCTTGTACACAGAATTATTAGAGTATTTCATACAGTATGAGACCAGACAAAATTCAGTTATCTTGTCACTAATCATTGCCTTTCAAATTTTCATTTCAAATAGTGTGTGTGGTTGGGAGGAGGTGCAGAGAAAGTACTGGGCCCACAATAGTATAATATGTCTCTTCAGTTTATCATGACAAATTTATTTACAACTAATCTTTTTTTTTTTTTATTTTTGCAGATACTATGTATAATGGAGAGATGAATGAGAAAATTAAACTGTTATATAGGCTTCATATCCCTCCAGGTAAGAAATTACAAGTAGAAAAATCAGGTTTTGATATGCCTTGACAAAATCTGTTTTCTTTTAAAACTTCACTTGCAGTTGTAACAGCAGGTGGTGGTATTCGAGACAGCAGATCACAGTACTGTGCTGCCTGGCCCCTGGCAGTGCTTCCCAGACCTCAGTGTACATCAGACACATCTGGAGGGCTTGTGAAAGTAGCCCAGGGACCCTATCCCATTATCTTCTAGGTGTCGGAACCACTGGCCTACAAACATGTAGGGAAGCCACACCCTGGTTGCCTAAATAACTGGTTATTTAACCACACTGATTTTGAAGAACCATGTCACTTTCCAGCATTTAAGACCATGCTTTTTTCAAACTGAACCAGTGCTAAGTAGGAAAAAGTGGTTTTGAAACCTACGAGATCAGACTTAGTGTTCATTTAGTTATTTCTTGGATCTTGGAAACTGGTGATACTAGGGAGCTCAGGTCTCCAGACGCAGTGCTGTGGTTCTGATGTTGGATGGGACCTCTGCTAGCACTTCTCAATGTTCAAAATGCCACTGAGGATTTTGAAAAATTATGAAGTGTAGGATATAACTCCTCCCCCAAAAACTCATGAAAATAAAAAATTGAACTTTTAAAAAAGAGGAAAGCTAGGTGAAGAGCTCTGATATTACACAACTCAAGAAGCCACTAAAAAAGTTGGATACTTAACTCTAGTATCCATCACAGTCAAGTGATTTTTTCTCACAGTAGATGAGAAATATACATTGAATACTTTAGTTATGTTCCTGTCAGTGACTTGGATATATGGAAATTTCTGATCTAATTGCAAATTCTTGCCACTACTGAATGGTAAGAGGAAGGCGCTGTACTAATACTCATAGTAAGAAAAAAAATGGTTTAATTCAACTGTACTGTCAAAACTGTATCTGATGGCTAAATTGTCTTATCAGAGAAGATGATCAGTGGAAGTGCTTTCACCTCCACCGAGCATCCCATATCGAAAATAATCAAGAAAGCAGTTATAGCAATGACACGGGACTTAACTACATGTGCAGTTTTCATTTTGGTGTCAGATTTTACTGCTGGTGGCATCTATTGAAACAATGACTTCTCAAAGCATTTGGGAGTTTTGCATAGCCAAATATACTTTATCATATTTTAACTTGTAGTACTGAAGGGAGACAGTTATTTTAACAGAAATGTCTATTAACTCTTGTCTTGAATTACAAGCTACATACATACAGGTTTACAAAACTTCAAGTATCTCAATTTAAAAGATTGAAAAGTACATATATAAATTTAGTGTTGACTACTTTCTCTAATGCACTGCATGCCATATTCTGATCATAAATAGCTAAGTTTTTTTCCAGTGTGCTCCAGGCCTCCTCTAGTGTTCAATCTGGGTGAAGGTGTTTTCTGTGTCCCAGGACTGGAAAAGAGGTGCTTATTTTGGGTTAGATTTGTCTTTGTTGCTTGTCATTTTACCTGTATCCTTTTCTGGGGCTATCAGCATCTCTTGAATTTATCACTCCTGTATGGACTCCAAAAGACATTTGGTGTTTATTGGTTCTTCTGTTAAAGCAGTTTACAGTTACTTCGTTTTTCCTGTTGGTGACACTCACTACTGAGGGTAGGAACCTAGTTACTAACTCAGTCACTGCAGTGGTTGTTATCTAGGAAATCATTTCTACTACGGCTATCCCAATGGTACTTACCATTCAGTTTTTAATTTTGCTTTTAGTTTCTGATTGGATCCCCACCTGTTGCACTGCCTAAAACTTACTTTGAGCAAAGCTGGGAGAAAAACTGACTCAGTATCTGTTACAGAAAAAACAAACTCCCCAAAACCCAGCCCATCTCACAAAGTAGGGTTGTTATTAAAGCTTTGGTGCCATCTTGTGGTATTTGTGGCTCACAATGAATCTTGACATTTTTCTTGTTTATCCATTTGGTAACACATTTCTCTTTATGGCTTAAAAGTACTCCATTTGGTTGGGATGCCATAATTTATTCATAGTCATCAAAACTGACATTTAGGTTGTTTCCACTTTTTGGCTTTTAGGAATGAAGGTTTGAGCATGATGGACAGTCTAACTTGAACGGCTGCTAACCTATCTTCCAAAGTGGCTGAACCATTCTACATTCCTATCATGAGTTTGAGGGTTTGGATACAATTGGATTTTAGTAAAAGTCTGATTAAATGCTACTTGAGTTCAGTAATTTTACAACTTTTGCTAAAAATTATGTATAGAAGTATGTGTTCATTATCCAGAATACTGTGAAAACTTTTCTATCATCTAAATGTTTTTATCTAGTTTACATATGCTTATATATAGGCGCTAGCTTTTACAACAAACTGGGGTTTTATTATATATGTTTTCCTGGTTAACATCAGCCAAATGTCTTGTAATGAATTTGCATGTTAGTAATTGCAACAGTATTTACATACATTCAAGTAAGACATTTTCTTTACTGTGTATCTAGACAGTGTGCTTGTTATAAACATATATTCATTCATGGATCATGCAAGTACTGCAGCCCTCAAGCTGGGGCTGCTGGCTTTTTTTTTTTTTTAACCTAAAAAACCAAAAGCTAAATTAAGAAGTCAATTCTGGTAAAAACACAATTTGTTAATGTTAAAACTTTTTCTTTGTAGCACTCACTGAAAATGATCGCGACAGCCAGTCACCACTGAAGAATCCTCTGTTGTCAACATCAAGACCTCTGGTTTTTGGGAAGCCAAATGGCATGTACTTAACATTATCTTCACGCCACTGAAATTGGTGGGAGTGATTCACAGATCACCTTTAATCTTAAAGGGAGATTTGTCTTTTCTCCACCTCCTGTGATTAATACCCAGTTCATTGATTTTAGAAGTCAGACATCTTCCAAATTGCAGGAAGACTGATTTTGACCCCACTATGGTTTGCTTCCTCTTGCTTAATATCTCAAAGGTCCTCTTCTAGCTACCACTCTTTCTGTTAATCACTGGTAAAGATTTCCCATGTAATCGCTGCTTGAGTTTGTACATGGAATTTACTTAGTGAAATTCATCAGACCACCCCAGTTCTACTTACTTCCCTTTCTTTGAATTTATCTAGTATTTCTGTTGTCTCAAGGTGATGCAATTGATTATCAGAAACAGCTGAAGCAGATGATTAAGGATTTGGCCAAAGAAAAAGATAAAACTGAGAAAGAGTTGCCTAAAATGAGCCAGGTATGGACTTTATTCTGTGCAGAAAATGAACTGTTTTGCTAAATGATCTGTTCAGAGGTAAGCTTGGGTCCTTTTACTGCCAATGCCAAAATCAAAGTATTTAAAAGTATTTAACTTCCGGGAGTGAAACATTGCTATGATTGAGGAATATCTAAATTGTTTCATTTGGATATTCAGCTATTCAAAGCTTTCATTTTTGTTAAATCTTGTCTTTGAAGCTTACCCAGTTCTGATGACTTTTTAAGAGTATTTAGGGGCATTGTGGACATTGCTTCTTTAAAAAATGGTACTCCTGATGATTCTTGGTTATCACCAATTACTTAAGTATGGTACAGGGAGGATTTCCTATGACCTGAGTATGCCCATTAAGGGTTCTGTACTACACTGAAGTGCCTCATGATGGTTTTTACTGTATTTCAAAAAGCCACCTAATGTTTGGGACATTTTTGAACACAAACACCTGGGAGATTCACATTTCCTGGTGTACTTAAATTTTCTCTACTCTTAAGGAGTTATTCCAGTAGATGAAATAGACATAATTTTGTTAGTCATAGTTAAAAGTTTTCCCCATCATAAACCTTAGCTTACACATCCTTACAGACAAATCTGCAGGCTGATTCCATAAATCCTTTTGTAGATTTAAAAGGTTTGTACATTTCTTAGTTTTATGGAAAAATGGCACTTTCAATTGTGTGCTGCAACTCCCTGCAGTTAAGTGTCTTCAGAGAGAACAGACTGCATTCTTTCGTTCAAAAGGTTATGTGGTTTTCTCAAGAAAGCAGTTAACACATTATGCAGTTGACCCCGTGTGCCACAGATCTTGCACCCCTGAATTAAACATACTATGTATGTTGCTTGTGCCTATACCGAGTAGGTATAGGTTTTTCTTGCTTAAAAGCTACTTACATAGTATTTACGTTATATCCAGGGATGATTTAAAATATTTGGTTATCAGAAAAGTCTTGGAGAAAAAAAATTAACAAAACCTCAGGACTCTTCCAACAACCCAGTGTGTAGGACAAATACTTCATATTGTAAGTGAGCTGAGCATATGAGTATTTTGCTATCTATAGGAGTAGGAGTCCAGGAACCAATCTCCCTTGGATATGAAGGAAATGACTACAGTTCCCACCTAGTTATACTAATATATACATATTTTCTTTTTTTAATTCTAGAGAGAATTTATCCAGTTCTGTAAAACTTTGTATAGTATGTTCCATGAAGATCCAGAGGAAAACACTTTGTATCAAGCCATTGCCACAGTAACCACCCTGCTGCTGCAGATCGGGGAAGTGGGCCAGAGAAGTAGCAGTTCAGGAAGCTGCTCCCAGGAATGTGGAGAGGGGCTGCAGGCTTCAGCTCCTTCTCCTGAGGACTTGGTTTTTGCTGACACTGGCCCCAGGAAGATGCCCCCGGAGTCCCAGGTATTTTCTGAAGAGGCAGAAGGGGACTGGACTGTCTCCCTTGAACACATTCTAGCATCACTTCTCACTGAACAGGCATTAGTAAACTTTTTTGAAAAGCCACTGAACATTAGATCCAAACTTGAAAATGCCAAGATTAATCAGTATAGTCTCAAAACTTCTGAAATGAGCCACCAATCACAGCCTGAACTCAAGATGAACAACCTCTAAGCAAGAGTGGTGCTGTGGACTCTGCCATACCAAAGCAAGGACCAGTTTTGTGGGTTGTCTGCCCATAAATCCACTGTCTGATTTTGAGTTTACAAGATGGTGTCCAGACAAGCAACATAACAAGCCACAATTGTGGCTAGGAGAACTGATGTAACCCTCAACATTTCTATTTATTCTGAGAATTCAGTTGGACATTGTACTAAAATGTATCCATCAGTTCTCCTGAAAGCTGTGACTTGCAATTTCACTTTGATCAGATTTGAAATGGGCACTTTTTGTGATACTAATCCAGAGAGAAGAGCCAAAGCTTATTTTTCACATGGAGTGACAATGGAAAGGTTAAGAATCAAGTTCACTTTCAAAATCTGAGAGCCACTATTCGTGCAATTGTATTTGGGTTTTTTGCACTAATTTTGTTTCAATGCTGGTAATTGAAACCATTTTAATATATATGGTTGTATTCCCTTTGTGTCCTTCCAAAAATGTGTACAAACCTTGCTTTCAATGTTGGTCTCCAAGTTTTTAAATAAGAAACTTTTGTATTGACTTTGTTCTTTGCTTTATATTTTACTTCAGTCCAAGGTCTGGACTATTCTAGTGAGTTAAGAGAAGGTTTGGGGGGAAGGTGGAAACATCCCCAAGCACCTGAATGGTACAATATGGGGGGAGGGGTGGGCGTGGAGAGAAGAAATCATGAAACATTACCCAAAACAGCTTGTTCTCAGGCTGAATTTGTTCATGTACCTTTACCAGTTTTAGCTCTGTAATAAATACATGAGCTAAAACATGACTACATGTAAAATTTGGTACCTCATCAAAAATCAGGCTATATATATACACATACACCTTTGACTAATATATTGAAATATAAATGGAAGTAGAATGCATAATATCCAATGTATTTAAAATTGTATCCTTTCAGTATTAAAAACATTCAAAGTGATAAACAGCAACCAACTTCTACATGCCAACCTGTGGAATGGCTTCTCTTAGAATTATAGAAAACATGCATATAAAAGTAACATCTCTAATTTTCCAATTACCCAGTTGTGATTCTTAAGCCAGGCTGCACTTCAAAACCAACTTAAAGACTAGACCTATCCAAATACTCAGGAAAAAAAGGGGGGCTGAGAAGAGGAAAACACATCTAACACTTAGGAATTCACCTCTAAGTTCCTATAAGTAGGTGCTTGCATATCTTAGTTTCTATCTTATACTGCTATTAGGAAAGGAAAATCAAAGCACAAAGGTGACTTACAACTTTATTTGTTAATCAGTGATTAGTTCTCATCCACATTGACTGTTTGTAGATCTGCAAAAGAAGGGACAACCAGTCAACTTCCACAGCTATATAGCACTTCCCAAAACCTATTTGAAGGAAGGGTTTAGGATAATTATCTCTTCGCTATCTAGATTGTTTTGTAAACTTTACGTATTTTCCTCACAACAAAAAGGTATAGGACTGACTTTACTCATATCCCCACTGGAAGGGCAATAGGCATATATAGGTACATACTAAGTATTTGCTCAACAAATTAATTCAGACCATGAAAGGGCTAACGTATAGTGTGGGAATCAGTAAAACTTACTTTTGAAAGTTGTGTGGGAATCAGTAAAACTTACTTTTGAAAGTTGTGACAGGCACATAGGTAACCAAAGTATACAGCTTGTTTGGCGAATCTTCATCCTCGTTGCGTTTCCTGGACAACCGTACACGGATACGATAGGGGACATTCCTAATAAAAATAATATATACATGAAGTCAATGCCTCCTATCAAGAAAATAGCCAACAAATATTATTTTCTCTTCCACTGTAATGCTGTCCTTTGCCAGTGTCCTGGAAAATTAACACCTACAGAGGGGCATTAAATACTGCCCTCTAGGCATGTATACCAGCCACCACTGACATTCAATCTAAGCCTTTAATCTTATGCCCTCTGCCACCAAAATACAAATCTTGATCCTAGGATTTGTAAATTTAAACTTGGAAAAAACATTACAACCCTGCAGGCTATATTAAACACAAAGCTATTACACGTGCAGTGCCTTGGTGGGCAATTCTCTCATTCATTTTAAGTACCTCTTTCCCCTCTTTGACCTCAGCAGCTGTCCTGAAACCCAGGACTTCTCTTGGCTCAGTGGACAATACTCCATCTCAAGGGACAGTAAGGTTGAGCCTTGTGTTGGGTACCAACCCCCCAGTTGAAGAACAATCCAGAGGTAATCTCCCACCCCTACTCGACCCTCTCTACAATCATTGTCCACACCAGCATCACTTCCACAGCAAAATGCCATGCTTTATTATAAACTAGATCTTTCGACCTCACTACCACTGACGTTTGGCTTGAAAATTGTTACTGGAAACTGCCTAGTCCTTGGATGTTTAGCTATGTATGTAGCCAGCAACAATCCCCATTAAAAGCCAAAAATGCATCCCCTCCTGAAATTGGCTGTGGTTGAGAAATATCCCTCCAAAGGCTTCCATTACGTTTAAAATGAAATCCAAACTCGATTACCCACAAGATCCCTGCATAATACCCTCATTGTCACTTTATTCCACCTTCCTCAACCTGCTTCCAAATCATGCCAAGGTTTTTCTGTTCAATTACTCTTACTGACCCTTACACTGCTCCCAATTCAACCAAGCATATCCAAGGACTGTCACACTTCCATTCCCATTCATTAAATTACTCAACTTTATGAAGTATAGAGTTGGTCAAGCTGATTTAACTGTAAAAAAGTATTTGAAGTACCTTATTCCCTTGGCCCAGACCGCTTTGTTGAGCCTGGTGTCAATGCGTACATCTGGAGTGCCCATTTCCTTCATTGCAAATTTCCGGATCTCTTTTAGTGCTCTAGGGGCACGCTTTTTGAAGCCACTGAAATTCAAAGTATATGAATACAAAGTTAAATGTTTCACTACACTATGTTGTATTTTCACACACACACAAAATCAAATCCAAACCTCAAATGAATAACAATCCTTATCACCACCAGTGCAACTAGGGTGGCACTTGGGAAGCAATGCATAACTCAAACAGTGTAGGTAAGGATCCTTAGGAGCTAAAATACATTGTCAGCTCTCCCTGGTGGTGCAGCGTTTAACCCTGACAGCACTAAGAAGCTAAAGTCACTTCAGCATGAGTTCGATCCCCGCCCTGGAGGTAACCACATGGCTGGGCAGACCTCTCCTGACCCACCCACTCCTCCCCATGTACTACACCAGTCAGCCTGCTCTGCTTCCCACTCTGGTGAATCCTCTCACTGCCCCTGCACCGCTGGCCTGTACCCCAGTTCTGTACGCATAAATAAATCATGAAAACAAACACTGTCAACCCTTTGCTGACAAAACACTTCCCCAACATCTAATACCACATACTAAGGATAAAAGTTAGAACACACTCAAATAAAATACACAATACCTAGTTTGAAGTTCCATTATTGGTCTATGCTTTACTAGTAGGGCCCTGAAATGCAGATTTCCTTGTATGTATGAAGAAAACAAGAGCTGTCAGCCATGTAACTGTCATTAATTCATGTCTGTTCCAACTAAATTGGGTACTATTAATTACCCCATTATTAGATGTAGGCATATAATTTGAATGCTTTCAATTAATGAAAAAATACAAAGCAAAACTTTAGCAAAGGCTGAAATGGTCAGGCACTTTGGGTAATTCCTAGTGGGCCAAAGACCAGTCTAAGTGTATCCCAACACACCAACAATGGGAATGTGGGAGAAGCCACGTCAGTGATCAAACTTTATCCCCAACATGTTCAGCACACAGCAAACGTACCAGGTGTGTTAGATGACCTTTAAGGTCTGACCTCTGCTTACCCCCACCTCACTCAGCTTCTTACACTGTTCCCAGCTTCTTTTGCCTACTAGTCTACTTCAAGAGCCTGAACTTGCTTTGCTCACTTGAATTCTTAGCCACCTAGAAATAAAAGGTGCTAGAAGTAACTAGTGGATTTCACAAACACCCCATTTGTTACAGCTTATATGGGTGACATCTAGAGTACATCAGATACTATAGAGATTACCCAAATTAGAAACATCTCTGGCCTGATTAACACAGTGGTCAAAAATTAAAGTAGCCAGCTCATGTGGGACTGTAGAATGAACTCTGGATTCTAGTTTAATGAATAAGGCAGAAAAGATTTGCTCCATTGCCAATGACTGAGAAAAAGAATCAGGCTGGGGTGGTGACAGACACCAGGAGCTTCAAAGGCACATTTTAAAGACCCAAACAGAGACATTAATACACTGGATATGAAAGGATTAAGCGCAGTCACTGTTACCAAGCCTGCACAAGAAAAGGGAGGGCCCTGGGTCTCAATCACCGAAAGGACTGGTGAAGAAATGACAAAGCTCACAGCTAAGGAAAAACGTAAGACTGTACTCTTTAGAAGTACAAGTATTTTTACAGAAGAACAAAGAAATGTCAACGGTTGCTCAAAAACGACCAAGGACTTAGTAGTATGTTTTTACTTGGGATTTTTGCACAAAAAACCTGCCTACTAACTTACTTTCCTTTTTAATAACCACTACGTGGCTAAGCCTTGCCTAACTTCCCTAAGTGAAACAAGGAAGCAGCACCCCTGGTTTCCTGCAGAGCCCGCCTCAAAAGAATGCATGCCTCCAAGCTGAGGGGTGGGGGAAGAGGATGGTGTCTCACAAAACAGCATTAATGCACAAAAAAGGGCACCTGGACCCAGAAGCCATCTCTGGGGCCTCCTAAATAAGAATGCAGATTACACATATTTAAGTCTCTTGCAACACTAGTCCCAAAATGACAGACTGCCGAGTAAACACAAGAAAGCCCGCTGACTGGTACTGAATAGAGCACTTTGCCGCACAATATTCTATTAAAAACACTCCGCATCTTAGCAGCAGTCACGAAGAGTTTGGTCTTCACTAACAGCACCGGAGGACCACACGCAGTAAAAAGGGAAACTTTTCTAAGCTCCAGAACTGAAAATCAAAGCCCACATAAGAACCCAAGAGTTTGAACACCGACTCTTGGGTCGCCTCTTTAAAGGACAGGTGTGTGTGTGTGTGGGGGGGGCCGCGACCAACAGCCCTGTCATTATCTAGACAATTAAACAAGCTGTTTCTTTTTGCTTTTCCTCATCTACACTTTCACCCTTTTGCGCGCGCAGGTGAATCCGATCAAAGCATTTAGAAGAGTCAATCAACCAATTATCTCAGATCGGCTCTCCACGAAATTACTCCTCAGTTGGTTTCCAGTCATTAACCTCTGGGCAAACTATGATAGGGTACGTGGGGTTCAGGTCTGCGCTGCTGCAGACACGCGTGATTTGCAGACCACCGGGACCCAGGCAGGCCCGGGCACAGCAACGCGAACGTCCCCGAAGTCCCAGTCCGTAGGCCAGGGCCCGCCGCGGGGATACTCACATTCCATGGATGCGCTTGTGAATGTTGATGGTGTATTCTCTTGTAACGACCTCGTTGATGGCGGAGCGGCCCTTCTTCTTCTCGCCACCCTTCTTTGCGGGAGCCATCTAAACTCAAGCAACACGGAGAGTAATTCAGGCGCGAGTGGGCCCAGCACAAACCCAGTAATTTTTCCCTGAGCCCGTTTCCGGGTGCTCAGGGTCCGGCTTGGCCCCTGAAGGTCCAAACCTGGGTAAAGCCAAGTTGGCCAGCCAGCGGTCCAAGCACTCGCGACCCTCAGCTGCCCCCCGCGACCCTCAACTGCCCCCGCCCCGGAAACCCTTTAGGCCGGTTCCCCAGCTTAGCCGCTACCCTTCCAAAACTATAGAGCCTTTAAACGAATCATGATTTTCGGTTTGCCAGAAACGCCCACCCCCGGGCAAGCTCATAAGAAAGCCCCTGTCCGGATTAGCACAGTCCCAGGCTAGGATGGGGTCAGATTCCAAGCTCCCGGACACAGCGTCCATACTCACCCTGTCGGGACCGAAGGTGAAAAGGAAGGGGCAAGGTATTGTGGGAGAGGGAAAGTACGTCGTAAGCACAACTTCCGGGTCAGCCAGAGGCGGAAAGGGTGTAGCTAGAAAAGGGGAGGGGCGAAGGCTGAGACACGTGCGCGCGTCAGGAGCGAGAGGGCCTCAGGGGCGGGGCTTGGGCGGGCTGCGTGTGCGCGCTTGCGCCTTGGGTGCCCATGTCAGGCACTGTGAATTCTGCCACCTGCCGCGGAGTTTGTATCGGCTTCACCCTAATGAGTCTCTGAAAAGGGCTTGGGCCTTTTCTCGATGTAATTAAAAGGAGTCAAAATCCAGGCCTGCTGTTGAATGGGGACAGGTCTGGACAGGAGGCTGTGATCCTGTCGAATTGGGAGTCGAGGGGCCTGGGCTTGGCAAATAGCAGAGACAGAGAAAAGAGTATTGTCACAAGAAATATTTAGAAATTAAAATCGACCGCTTATATGGATTTATAGGTATATATCAACTTAGAAAGTGTTAGTGGCTGATGGCTACACCTTTTAGAAAGGTAGAGCAAAATATATGGAAGAAACCAATGTGATGCCCTGATCTTAAATTCTATACATGTGTTCAATTCATTACAAAATGACACAAAACAACCATTACTGCTTCATTCTTACCCCCCAGGAACCCAGATTTTAATCTCTAATGCTTAAAATAAAACTTTAAAAGGAATTGTTTGTCCCGATTTCTGTGAGCCTCCGCAAGGAAGAAAGACCTGAGGCACACAGGCTGAGCAAGCAGTGTTTATTTCTCCTGGGCAGCAGCTGAGACGGAGCCCCTAGGTGGGGTCCCCTAGGGTGGGGTCCGCAGCTACTGATAGCTCTTGGGGGAAAGCGGTCTCTTATATAGATTCTAGGTTCAAATTCTAAAGCAGTGACTCATCGCTGTGCCCCCTGATGTGAGGCCCAGTTAATTATCACCCTTAGATGTGAGGCCCAGTTTGTTATGGCCCTTACCTAGTCTCCCCTGTAGTTTTGTTATCTCAGCACCTAGTCGCCCCCAACAGCAATCAGATCTCCTTGAGAGTTGAATGGATGTCTTGAGTCAAAGGGATGGAAACTCAAGTTGGCCCTTGTCTTTTTCCAGAATGAATCTGGAATCTGATTTCTGGTAGTGAATGCTAACAAGATGAAGGAGCCAAGTAAGGGAGCTCAATAACAACAGTGGCTAATTAGATAAGTCCAGTTTATAAAAGTTCACAAACTTATAACATGATATATATAAATATATATATATATATAAAACATGATATATAAAAAAATGGTAATTGTAGTTCAAAAAGGAGCCCATGATAATAAAGGCCTCAGTTATTGTTTTAATAAGTGGAGAGTATTGATACATATGGGTATCTTGTTTCTTTGAAAACCTGTGTCTTAATAAAATGCAGACTTGTGTTAGTTTCTTTCTGAGGGGGTAAAGGAGTGAAGCAACACTTGTGAAAGTAGCCATACACTTCCAGGAAAAGTAGGGGACACTGATAGGTAACCCCCCTTTCAACTCACAATAGATTTTGGGCTGATGTAGTGGTAGTGGAGGTAGGTGGTTGTGGAGGTTTCACAGGGCCAGAAAGTAGAGGTGGGGGAAGAAATAATTAACAAATTATTAAACTGACCATAGAAATTCTTCAGAGGATCTGAAGACTGTCATGACAAAGAAAGCGCAGTCCTTACAGACTAATCTGATCAGACCCTAAAAGTGATAATTTCACAATAGATAAAATCCCACAAAGGAACGAAATTCCCCCCCCCCCCACTCCCACCCCCCGAACAGTATGTAACAACAACTCTTGGCCCTTGCAAAATGCAGCTCAGCTTACCTGTCTATGCAGATGCTTCTTTTTTTCCTTCCCTCTTTCCTCAAAACCTGTCCTTGGCCTGTTTGTGTCTATGCAAACATTTTTTTCTTCTGTAAACTCGCTGTGTGCGGTTGAATGGGAAACTGAGGAAACCTTTCTCAGAGGTAACTCAAGAACCCCACTCACTGAACCTCATCATCTCATCAGAACCTCATCACCATGAAAGTAAAGGAGAACACTCACCTTAACTGTGAACACTCACCTTAACTGTGAAAGAGTATCCACGACTGCTATCTTACTTGTAAATTACTGTTTGGCAAATTAAAATCATCCAGCCATAGGAAATAAAACAAAAATCTTTACCAACCTTCAAAAGTAAAAATCTAAGAAAAAGAGCAATGGAAGATGTCTGATATAAGACATTTGACTTTCACATCAAAAGGCAGGATTCTAACACCTGCAAATCCTGTGTGAGTTAACTCAGACCACATAATCAAGTCCCCAGACACCATGGCAAAGCACAAATCATCAACCTTGAGTCTTCGGCCTCTGCTGGTCATTTCATTGCTTTGGTGTGTATGATAAACTTAGGGAAGTATAAAATTTTATTTGATGAGTTATTGAAGCACTGGAATGGTATTAAAAACTGGAGCACTGGACCCCCCGTGGTGGCACGGCGGGTTAAAGCGCAGCACTAAGAAGCTAAAGCCACTTCAGCGTGAGTTTGATCCCCACCCGGGAGGTGATCCACATTGCCTTGAAGATCTCCCCTGACCTGCCCGCTGCTCCCCTCAGCAGTGTACTTCGTCAGTCCGCCTGTTCTGCTCCTTACTCTGTCTCTGGTGAATCCTCTCACCACCCCTGTACCTCTGGCCTATACTCCAGTTCTGTACGCATAAATAAATAAATCTTTAAAACAACAACAACTACGATAAAAAAAAAAAAAACACTGGAGTACTGAGGTATAAACTTTAGAATAAAATACAAAACAAAGTTAACTGTGATATTCAACAGTTATATATAAATAGTTCTGATGTAAATATGTTCATTTTGTTGTATTTTGCATCAGAGGTGACTTTGTAACTTTTAAGGTATCTTATATATCAGACTTGGGATTTTACTTACATTTTTATAAGTGTTTATATTTGTAAAAGACTTTATTTCATAATTGGGGAAATTTATTCTTATAAATTCCTAAATACCTGTTTTTTATTTGGTGTTGAGTAATAAAGGAAGTGTTTACCTAATGGTTAACAAAATACTAATTTTTAAAAAATTAGATTAACAATTGGACATTAAGTGAATTAGTGGTGAGTGTCTTTTCATGTACAAAATCCCTAAAAGAAAAATTAATTTAGCATCATGGAGGCTAAAAATTTTCAGTTTATATAGATAGGTGGATGTATGCTCCATGAAAAGAGTTGTGAATGCTGGGTGGAGCAAATGATTGTATAGAAAATTGAGGATATTTTAAGTACATGTAAAGTGGTGACCCAAGGTTTGAATTGGTGAGTCATATAGTCATATAATTATTCATATAATTTAATGAATGTGTTGAGTCACCATAGTTCCCCCATAAATGGACATTGGTTAATTTGGTGAAATGGATAAAGGGGATTGATTTTCTTTTTCATGAGGATTTCTTTTTCCAGAAAAACAAAAAACTTTTGCAGATAACATTAAGAATAGATATTTCAGCTGTTTAATTTACCATGTTAGGCTTAGAGAAGTATGCTATTATTTATATTCCACTTATGTATAATACGGAATTGTGTCCAAAACACACGTATGGCATTTTGCTAGAGGATCCAAATTATTTTTCTAGGTTATTAGTGGCTGACTTTAAAGCCTTTAGCCTTCACATAAAGAGAGAAACTTAAATAATTTTGTTCCAAGCATCCAAATCTTAACAGGTAATTTAGGTTAAGTGTGCAAAAATGTAAAATATCATGGCTTACAAAGATCTTATAGTTGATTAGTTCACAATGTTGCATGTAGAAACAACATTTTTAAATTAACTACATTTTAGTTGCTTTAAAATATTCAAAAACTTGATGTATTCCAGACTTCACATTTTAGTCACTTCTCATGAGCCAAGAAATTATAGTTTCCCAATTAGAAAGGTCATGCTTTTTCTGGAAACAGAACAGGATTGCAAAACAGCCTTTTAATAAGGAAAGTTAAATGAATCAAAAGCTCAGGGATTAAACTTCTCCTGATGTTATGTAGGCTTAAAGAAATATTATGCAATAAGAGCTTTCTGAGTTTATCCAGATTCAGAACATGTGTAAAATTTAAGCAATACTGAATTAAATCAGTAGCAGGGCACACTCCACCCTATTCTAATGGCTTCCAGCTAGAAAATCCTAAGACAATTAACGTTTCCATTAAACGTCCTGTTCTACTTAGAACTAAGTATTCTGACAGTTAAAATACAGATTCTTTTACTGAAAAATCAAATTTATAAGCCTTGGAAATTATACAACCATTAAATTACAAAATGGTTTATCCAACTTCACACAGACTTTTTGGTTTAAATTGTCCCTAGTACATGCACAATTTTTAGGCTAACCTTTTTATTAAAACAGCAATGATGTAAATAATTCCATTTTCATGTCCAGGCTACTCTTGCTATCCCAAAGTAGACCATTTGTGCAAAATCTTTCATAAGCCAAAGTGGCATAACGTGAAGAAGCCATTACCATTGGTTTATATAGCATTTCGAGTCCCAGGGTAAGTGAGGGTTAATTAGGCAGCTTTAGAGACAGTGCAGGAGGGACTTCAGGGAGAGTTAAAGAGGTTTCTGAGATAAGGGCAGAGAAATTCAGGAGGGCTAATGAGAGCAGTAAATTTTAAGGCTAATATTTAAGGCTAATTGGGACAGTAAAGTTTAACAGAACTTGGACGGGGGAGGTAAAGGAGAAACTCTAAGAGCTGAGAAAAGGGATACATCTGTCCGAAGGAGTGTAGCCACCAGGAAAAAGAGCTAATTACAAAACAGGGTGATGAGATCTTAGAATAGAGGGGAAAAAGTTTAACTACCCCCTAGACACAGGCCCATAATGGTGTCTTCTGCCCCTCCTTGGCATCGCTGCCTTGGGGTCTTTGCTTTAATTCTTTTTCCTCTAAATAAACTTTGTTTCCTTGAATAGTTTGCTCCTCTCTGCTTATCTAAAAAGTCCGCGAATCCTTTTTTATGGCTTCGTGGGACAAAAACTTGTGGTAGTCCAAGGCTAAATTAGCAGCACACAATGGCTTTAACCTTGAGAGTTCCCAGACCTAAAAAGTAAACTATCAAGTCATAATAAATAACAAGTCAATCTAACTACCCGACAGTAAAAGCAGGATGATATGATAAAATCCATATCTGTAGTGAAAGCTATGTGATTCAGATAAAGTTCTTGGAAAGAGCTTTGGGGGCCACTCTTGACACTTTAGGTGTGTATTACCTCTAGAATGTCTGCTGCAGGTTTTGCTTTTGTTGTAAAAGCAAAAAGCCTCCTGGATGCTTCTGTTGATTAAAACAGGTACCAATGTCAGTCTTCTGTAAAAGGCTTAACATGAACTTTTGAAAAGTGGTGGACTCGGCATTGATATAGCAAACTTTCACGCCATCCAAACCAATCACAGTCTCAGCTGAGAAGAGCTAGCCCTTTACAGGGGAGCTGGTGGGAGCACAGAGCTAGAATGATAAAGCAAAGAAAGGAACTGAGTTCTCTTGGGCCCAGTTTTGAAAAGTGCTGTGCCATGTTCCAGGCTTGCTCATGCCAGTGTGATGAAACCTCATCATATCAAGGGGCATGTCTATAGTAGGCATGTACACACATCAACTTGACATGTATGTGCACATTTTACAGACACCCAGCCCTGTATACATCACTGATAATACATATTAGCAGTCAGGTGTCATACAACTCCAGGCCAGGAGAGGTTAATCATGGGCTACGGATGCTTTGGAAAATGTTTCCGTATCTCCATGGACTACCTAGTGCAAGCAGGCAGACAGGGCAGCTGGCGGCTGGGGAGCTGGGAGCCTTGAGAGGCAACCGAGCTCCTGGGGATCCTCTCTCTCTCTCTCACACACACACACACACACACACTCTCACATCATCTCTTAACATGAGCTCACCTCTTCTGAAGTCAAGCTGCTCATCCTCCTCTTGTTGCTGCCGCTGCGCTGTGACCTTTAGCCAGCCTTTGGGCTCAGGTGTGCACAATTACGCATGCCCACACCGTGTTCCAGGTGACCACAATCAGGCACTTGTGCTCTGTGCCCATGCTCCCAGGTGTTTTCTGCATTACAAGATCAAGGCCATAGGCAATAGCTACAGCGGATAGTGGTCTAAAGAAGCCTGATTAATTCACTTACCCTACAACTACCTATATCTAGAAGGTGGCGATGTTTCCAGAAATATTTTTTGTCTTTGACTGTTTTTCCCTCATTTCTGGAAAAACAGGGTTTTCTCCTGATACAAATTTTCAGCAAGATCAGGAAACTGACAGGCTGATAGACTTCTTGTGGTCCCAGAAATCTAAAGCCATTACCTGGCTTTTTATTGCTTCCTTCCTTTTCTGTGTCTTTGCTTATCTTTAGAAATTAGAAAAAATGTTTACTGATGAGCAGATACACACATACATATATAACAAGGGATAGAAATTGCTTCCAGAGGAAATTGTACAAATCTGTTAATTTATTATAAAATGTCCACTCACAGAAAAACACAAGAAAACTTTTTATACTTTTATATTTGGGAAAGGAACTGGTCTCTCCAATACAAAATAATTTACACATAATCCATACAATTTTATTTTATATAGAAATAGGTCATTATTACAACAGCTGTACAATTCACTACACTTTTATAATTACATAAAATCTTTTCTTTAGAAACATCTCAACATAACAAAACATACAAAAAAAGCAAAGTGCATTTTGAAAAGGAAAATCCAATCCTCGGTCTTATCATGAAAGATATGTAGAAAGATGCAGCATTCTCCCTCCAGGGGCCAGCACAAGGTGGGGTCCTTGGGAACCAGAAGGCCACAGGCCTGTCTGGCTAGTGAAACCTCTTCCTTTGGGGTCTTAAGAGTCCTCAACTGAATTCCAGAACATCAGCTGCATGACTGTGCTTGGCTTTGAGCCTGCCTTTGAAATCACAACCCAGGAAGTCAACAGGAAACAGTCCAGTGTTACATTCAGGGGAAACGAAATAATTACCACAATGGCGTGGGGGTGTGCAGAGCCTCATTCCACTAAGGCTTAGGCCAAAAGGGTGTGGGTCTGTAGTCTGGTTAATAATGACCAGCTTTGCTATCTGATTGGTGAACTCCAAATGAAGTCATGAGGCCTCACGGCTATTTTCTTTTTTTAACTGAATGTGCCTAATTTATTTCCTTGTGCAGCTGTGCAAATTAAAACAAAAACAGCCATTTAAAAATAACAAAAGATAATCTCTTTATTCTCTCTCTTCAACAGATCTCTGACCCAATGCTTCTAGAACGCAAAAGAGAGGATCCAGAGAGTGAAGGCCAGCTGGCACACCTGCAAGAGCCGCTGCCAGCTGGCATGACCAGCACACTCTTGGGAGGATGCAGCGAAGACGTGCCACCTGCTAAGGTAAACTGAGTCAAGACACTTCTATGGGCACTAGATTCCTGTCCAAGTATGGCTGTAGAGGGCACCCGAGAAGGGCCCAGGCGAAGGAAGCACGCCAGTCTTCCTGATTGTTCACATGCCTGCTGCTGTGCTTGGGAGACAGTTACCAGCCAGGAGCTCTGAAATGTTTGCAGTGTGCACGAAACCAAGGGTTTAATTTAAACTCCTCTCCCATGGCCACCCCGACTCGTGCATAAATTAAAGCTGATTGTGACCCGACTGAGGTGCCAGGGCACTACCGGGGTGACTGTTGGAGGCCTGAGGACTCGGACAGGCTGCTCACTCTCCGGGGAGGGCGTGGTGGCTGGGTCTGGGACAGGGGGTAGCCCAGGGTCCCTGGCTGTTGCGGGTAGGTGGAGAGAAGTATCGAGTCCTGCTGCTCACTGTGCAAAGAGGTTGGTGCTTGTACCTGGAAAGCAAAGAAAGAGAACTCAGTGGGCATTGATGCTGAAGTGGTCAGAAAGGGGCCTCCTGGTGAGGGCTTGGCAGGGGGAGCCCTTTGTGGTAGATGGGGGAGAAAGGAACCTGAGCTTTGCTGAGGGATTTGAATTCTGTAGCCAGCACTAGGGATCACAGGGGCCTGGGTTAGACTCTCGGGAATGGCTTCCTGAACAGGTGCGCACAATCGCCAGGCTGTTCTGGGGAACTGGAACCTGAAGGCACATGCAGATAATAACACACACACACACACAGTCTGCACACTTTGCTCTGCTAGTCCCTCGTTCTGTAATTATGTACAAATACTGACACTCATCAGCATCTACTAGAAAGGAAATACACTAATTTGAATCTCAGAAGCTTCAACTGGTCAAACCCTAACTTGGGAAACTACATTTTATCTTCCACTATTCCTTTTCATGAAATCCAGCTTTGGTAACTGACCTACCCTTTTTTTTGAAGCAACCCAGAGACCCCTGTCTCTACACTTTTGCTCAGGATAGCTCTCCTGCTGCAAACACCATCCCTCTTCCTCCCAGGATGACCTCCCTGCCACAGTGCTCCCTGAGTATTAACCCAGGGCCTGACTGCTCTCTGTGACACCCGCTCCCCACAAGACACTACGAGGCCCCTAAGGACAATGGATGGGTGACTCTTTCCATCTTTGTACCACTGTCCTCAAAACGTCTCAGTAACTATGTGCCCTGTGATGGTGCCCAGGTGGAGTAAGTGAAGCTGGGCCCTGCCCTGTGTTGGCGGCTGGAGTCAGCGAGGACTACACAGGCCAGGGTTAGAGCTAGAGTAGGTAGAGCCTCCTGGGTGGATGTGGGGAAAGAAGCCAAACCCTCAGCATTTCCATCCCATCCAAACCCCTACTCACTGGCTCTCCCCCTCCTGCCTTTCAGAAACTTGCCTGAAATAAGTAGAGACCCCATGTAAAAGAGGCCCTGAAAAACACCAATGTCAGGCTCCATTATTGTATTCATTTAAAAAGTTTGATACATCTTTAAATAAACATGATTTAACTGTATATTTGCATAAGACTATTATATATACTCCTCTAACAACACAGTCACCAATTTTTGTTCTAGAAATATGGCCACCATAATAAAAATCACATGTTAAAAACGGACCATAAGAGTCCTAACAATTGATTGTCAGTTTCACCTACTGTAACTAGATTTCATAAACTTTGAGCATTAAAAACAATCAAATGTGAATCTGTCTGGGGCCTGTTTCTACACTGGGGTGTAGAACAACCTTGAAAGCAAAGGCCTGGGCTATGGAGCCAAGTCTTATCTCCCCAGCCCTGCGTGTGTGTGTGCAATGGGCCCTGGTGTCCACCGGCAGGAAGTGCCCGCCTGCAGGAAGTGCCCACCTGCAGAAAGTGCCCACTGGCAGGAAGTGCCCACCTGCAGGAAGTGCTGTGGCTGCTGTTGCTGGGCCTGCGCGGGCTGCAGGGGCGATGTCTGGGAGGTGGGGAAGCTGGGGTGAAGCACTGCCTGGCCCATTAATAGGATGGGGGTTGAGGCGCTGCTGCTGGTGGTATGCACATCTGGATTTTGAAACACAGCTTGACTCTGTGGATACCTGTTTGGTTTCATGCGGGAAGGAGAAAAGAGACCTTCAAAAAAGAGTTGTTGACATGACACCAACAGCATAAGCAATGAAAGGTAAAACTGGACTTCATCAAAATAAAAACTTTGTGCATTCAAAGATACTATCCATGGAGTGGAAAGGCCACCCTGAAAAATATTTGCAAATCATACATACAGTAAAAACTGATATTCAGAATAAAACATAATTCACACAAATCAACAGCAGAAAGACAAAAGTAAACAAACCAACTGGAAAATAGTCAAAGGGCTTACATAGGTCTTCTCTGAAGAAATGACACTAATGGTTAAAAAACATGAAAAGATGCTCAACATCATTAGTCACTAGGGAAATGCAAAGCAAAATCCAAATGAGAGGCAACTTTCCCCCATTATGACAGCTATTATAAAAAAATTGTTTAACAGATGTGAAGAAATGTAAAATGGTACAGACACATGGAAAAAGTATAGTGATAAAAAAACTAAACCTACAGATAAGTCTAGGTATGCACCCCAAAGAAGTGAAAGTAGGCACTCCAACAGGTATTTGTACACCAGTGTTCAGAGCAGCACTATTCACAAAAGCCAGCAAGTGGAAGCACCCAAGTACCACCCATGGGTGACCTGGTAAATACAACATGGTATATACATACAGTAGGATATTTTGTAGCCTTAAAAAGGAATGAAATTCTGACACTTTACACTGATGAACACAGAGGCCGCCGAGTGAAATAAGCCAGGTACAGATGGTCAGCTACTGCATGATTCCACTTCCATCAGCGTCTTAGTCAAAACAGAGTGGTGTGGCTGCAAGGCTGTGGTGCAGCAAGGAACAGAGCACTATTGGGGTCAGAGTTTTAGTTTGACACAATGCAAAAGTTTTGGAAGGTGGACAGTGCTGATGGCTGGAGAACAATAGGAACGGAAGCCATCACTGAACGCTAAACTTAAATATGGTTAAAATGGTAAACTGTAAGGTTATTGTCTACAGAGTAATTAAAAATGACGGATGAAAGAGGTTTGATGATAATGGCCATTTAACAAGGGGTGGAGGAAGCCATTTGAGAAAACGCTGGAGGAATACTGGCTAGGGATGGAAGTTTGAAGACACTACAGAGAAGTCCATTTGCATTACATTTTTACAGTTCTTTTTTGGGGTCATTTCTAAGAGGTTTTGGGGGTTCCAAACTTCCCCAGTGGAGGCCTGTGTGTGTGTGTGTGTGTGTGTGAGGTGGACTCTGACAGACTCAATGATGGAGGATTAGATCTTGTCTGAAAGAGATGGTAGGAAGATAGTGAGTGTGCAAGTTATTAGGGTGACCAAAATTGGGAGGAAGAGTACCCAGGAAAAAAAGTTGTTCCAGTTTTGCTTTGTTCAGTGAATTTTAAATATTTCCATTTATAGGATCACTTAGAAAGAACAGGTAAAATTCCAAACCAAGACCCTCCTGCCTAATTGAGGGCATCACCAGAGATGTTAAAGGCAGTTTCTTGGAAAGCACATTCCTCAGCTCACCATCCAGAGATTTTCATGGGAGGAAACAAAATGATGTAGGTAAGGCCCCTGCCTCTCAAATGTTCAGCAACTGTCCACTGTTCCTATTATTTCTGGCTGCAGGAGGACCTGTAGGACATGGTCCCAAGAGAGGGCTGGAAGGCAGTTAGTTGAGGATGTGCTGGGCCTAACTAGCCAGCAAGGTCCCAGTGCACTTCTTTTTTTTAAAGATTTATTTATTTGTGCATACAGAACTGGGGTACAGGCCAGAGGCTCAGGGGTGGCAAGAGGCTTCACCAGAGACAGAGAGGGCAACAGAACAGGCATATCGACGAAGTACACTGCTGAGGGGAGCAGCGGGCGGGTCAGGAGAGGTCTGCCACACCATGTGGTCGCCTCTAGGGCAGGCGGGGATCGAACTCATGCGGAAATGGCTTTAGCTTCCCAGTGCTGTGCTTTAACTCACTGTGCCACCAGGGAGGGCCCCCAGTGAACTTCTGACACAAATTCAACCAGTGTTTAAATAAAAAAGACATCTCTGAGACAGCTCTAGTTCTGCTTCATTTCAAAGGACCAGAAACTATTTTCCAGTAGCTTTTCAAACATTCACTCTTCTGTCTCCAGTAACCTTTGTCCTGGGCAATGAAATGCCCTGAGCATCAACAAAGCTGCTCTGGCCCCAGGAGTGGAAAGTGAGGAGAGAAGAGCTAAGAGGGGAGAAGGCTGTGTGTCTGGGAGGGGATGGGAGGGAAGGGGGCCTCGCACCTGCAGAGTTACACAGCCCCATGGAACAGTGCCAGAATTTTCCGGAGCCACAGAAGCACCCTCAGGAAGGGTGCTAAGGCTCCTGGCATCTTGCCAAGGGTGAAGAGACTTTAGTTAAAAAAAAATCCGAGGACGGAATAGAAGGAACATACCTCAACATGATAAAAGCCATCTACGATAAGCCCACAGCCAATATTATCCTCAACGGAGAAAAACTGAAAGCCTTTCCTTT